CATCTTTGCCTCGATCCTGACTAGTCTCCCAGTCCCTGCCGCTGAAAAACATCCCCAGAGCATTATGCTGCCACCACCATGCTTCACCGTAGGGATGGTGCCAGGTTTCCTACAGACATGATGCTTGGCATTCAGGCCAAAGAGTTCAATCTTGGTTTCATCAAAACAGAGAATGTTGTTTCTCATGGTCTGAGAGTCTTTAGGTGCCTTTTAGCAAAATCCAAGCGGGCTGTCATGTGCCTTTTACCGAGGAGATGCTTCCGTCTGGCCACTCTACCACAAAGGTCTGATTGGTGGAGTGCTGCAAAGATGGTTGTCCTTCTGGAAAGTTCTCCCATCTCCACAGAGGAACTCTAGAGCTCTGTCAGAGTGACAACCAGGTTCTTGGTCACCTCCCTGACCAAGGCCCTTCTCCCCCGAGTGCACAGTTTGGCCGGGCGGCCAGCTCTAGGAAGAGTCTTGGTGGTTAAAGACTTTTTCCATTTAAGAATGATGGAGGCTACTGCGTTCTTGGGGACCTTCAATGCTGCAGAAATGTTGTGGTACCCTTCCCCAGATCTGTGCGTCGACACAATCCTGTCTCTGAGCTCTACGGACAATTCCTTCAAACTCATGGCTTGGATTTTGCTCTGACATGCACTGTCAACTGTGGGACCTTATATAGATGGCGGTGTGCCTTTCCAAATCATGTCCAATCAATTGAATTTACCACAGGTGGGCTCCAATCAAGTTGTAGAAACATCTCAAGGATGATCAATGGAAACAGGATGCACCTGACCTCAATTACGTGTCTCATAGCAAAGAGTCTGAATACTTCTCTAAATTGAGGAGGTGAAACTGCTTCAGAGAACACTCATGCCAGGAAACTGTGCAACAAACTTGAGGTGAACCTTTTTTCCAAGAATAATCTCATGTTCTCTCCGAATTCAGTACACATGATCATCTCAGTCTAGCTAGAGTATGCCTACTCGAAAATAATAATAATTTGAAGTTAGATGATTACTGTACAGTTGAGTATATTAGTGGCTAATCCATTATCAGCCTACTAATATGCTCAAGCTCTTTAGCCATGTTAAATTGTATACTTATTCACATACAAATATAGGACTATGCCCTTTTTACAGACTAAATATCCACTTGTAGGGCAGTTTGTGTTTGGTGAGCTTACTGTAATAGTTTGGATCAGTGATGATCAACCAGGGGCATATTTAGTAAGGCTTTCCTGGTAAGGTGAAAAAGTAATGGCTTTTGCTCAGTAATCCTCATTTAAATGTGGGGAAAAACCTCCTCTCATGTTGTTGAGGTTTTTGATGGCAGGCTGAGGCCTATAGCAGAGTGGTATACTACGAAGCAAGCTAGATCTACTCTGGTTTTTATGACGCTAGCTAGCTTCAGAAGGCTTCACATTCCAGGTCAGGCTTCATCCATACTACGATGGTGGATATTGCTTGTCCGCCTGCCGCTAACTCTAGCAAGCTTGTAACTGATTGTGCATGTCGAACATGGCTAGTCGAACACCAAACTCTTCATTGAGACAATGCTGAAACATCAATCAATGGGCGAGTCAGTGCCACATTTTCATTTGTGGAAAAATCAAAATGAAAGAAAAGTTATCTTGCAAATTCAGCAGGTTTCGGTATGAAATAGGCTTTTAGAAGTGCCGTCTTTATTTTATTACTTACCTTTAATGCAGCCTTTAGTGTGCTTATCAATGCATAAGCACTTTTTTCCCACTCCTATCGCTCCTTCTGTGGAACAGCTTGTTGCATTGTGGCCATAGACATACAATCCATAGAAGAGTTTTGGAACCTTTAACCCTGGCAATTTGACTGTTAAACTCATGGGTACACTAGCAATGGCTGCCAGTGTTGACTTGAACGGGAACTACCTTTGCCTATCGCAAATTTCTAAATACAATCGTGCGAAAAATGTACAGTTTGGAAAACAAATGCTGTCATTACTAAATGTGTAATGTGATAGGTATATGTAATTTTTGTTTACAAAGAAAAGTATTTAATAAATTGTCTTCCTCAAATGAAGGGGATGATGACAATCTTTACGAGAGGGATGGTATCGGATTTCATTGGTGCTCAACTCAGAAGCTTCATTCAGGATAAATAGAGTTAGCCCTGAGTTAGCCTGCCCCGGAGCAGGCTAGTTCTGAAGGATTCATTGGTATAGAAATGTACCCAGCTAAAAAGGTGAGCCACTTTCGTGGCACCGGTTATCCCGAGTTGAACTCAGAGTTGACCAAAGTTACCTTGCTAACTCCTCAAACCTTATTCATAGTATATGGCTCTGCTCCATTATTTGGCCCTTCAGTCATCCATCCCTCTCCCCCCACTCTCGCTCCCCCCCCCACACTATTCTTCCCCTCCCCTCCCCCCCTCTCCATTCTATTGGTCTTAAAAAGGTCCAATGCGGCCGCTCATCTCAATATAAAATAATTTCTGAGTAATAGTTAAGTACCTTTGATTGTTTTCAATTAAAATGGTCAAAAAGAAACAAAAATCACTTCTTAGCAAAGAGCGATTTCTCAAGCAAGAATTTTGTTAGGACTGTCTGGGAGTGGTCTGAGTGGGGAGGGAATACTGAGCGAAAAGGGTCCATATCAGGAGATATCTTTACATGACACGCTTTTGATATTCTAGAGAATACAGACCATTTCCAATGCATGTTTGGAGTTTTGTGGATGTGCACCATATCCTGACAAATTCTGAATCCAGATGTGCCTTTTTAAACATCACACATGGACCCTATGGCCGGATATGGACTCATTCGGACTCATTCAATATCCTGAGATATGTGATATCCTATTTTCTCTCTTCAGGTTGAAAAATACTGACTGTATAGATAGCATGTGTTTTCTCAGCACATTCAAGATAGGAAGCTACACTATATATATAAACACAAAAGTATGTGGACACCCCTTCAAATTGGTGGATTCGGCCATTTTAGCCACACCCGTTGCTGACAAGTGTTTAAAATCAAGCACACAGCCATGAAATCTCCATAGTCAAACATTGGCAGTAGAATGGCATTACTGAAGAGCTCAGTGACTTTCAACATGGCACCGTCATAGGATGCCACCTTTCCAACAAGTCAGTTCGTCAAATTCCTGCCCTGCTAGAGCTGCTCCGGTCAACTGTAAGTGCTGTTATTGTGAAGTGGAAACGTCTAGGAGCAACAACGGCTCAGCCGCGAAGTGGTAGGCCACACAAGCTCACAGAACGGGACCGCCGAGTGCTGAAGCGTTTAAAAATTGTCTGTCCCCGGTTACAACACTCACTACAGAGTTCCAAAATGTTCGTAGGGAGCTTCATGAAATGGGTTTCCATGGCCGAGCAGCTGCACACAAGCCTAAGATCACCATGCGCAATACCAAGCATTGGCTGGAGTGGTGTAAAGGTTGCCGCCATTGGACACTGGAGCAGTGGAAACGCGTTCTCTGGAGTGATGAATCACGCTTCACCATCTGGCAGTCCGAAGGATGAATCTGGGTTTGGCGGATGCCAGGAGAACGCTACCTGCCTGAATGCATAGTGCCAACTGTAAAGTTTGGTGGAGGAGGAATATTGGTCTGGGGCTGTTTTTCATGGTTCAGGCTCCTTATTTCCAGTGAAGGGAAATCTTAACACTACAGCATACAATTACATTCTAGACGATTCTGTGCTTCCAACTTTGTGGCAATAGTTTGGGGAAGGCCCTTTCCACCATACAACAATATTACAATGTACAGTACAAGTCAAAAATTTGGACACACGGACTCATTCAAGGGTTTTTCTTTATTTTTACTATTTTCTACATTGTAGAATAATAGTGAAGAAATCAATACTATGAAATAACACATATGGAATCATGTAGTAACCAAAAAAAGTGTTAAACAAATCAAAATATATTTTAGATTCGAGATTCTTCAAAGTAGCCACACTTTGCCTTGATGACAGCTTTGCACACTGTAGGGGAAAAATGAATCTATTTACCTGCCCTGTTTACTATATATCGATAGCTGTTGTGCAGCAACTCACTGCCTTCCTGAAGACAAAAACTTTATACGAAACGGTTTTGGTCTGGTTTTAGACCCCATCATAGCACTGAGACCGCACTCATGAAGGTGGTAAATTACCTTTTAATGACGTCAGACCAAGGCTCTGTATCTGTCCTCATGCTTCTAGACCTTAGTGCTGCTTTTGACACCATCGATCACCACATTCTTTTGGAGAGATTGGAAACCTTAATTGGTCTAAACTGACAAGTTCTGGCTTGGTTTAGATCTTATCTGTCGGAAAGATATCAGTTTGTCTCTGTGGATGGTTTGTCCGCTGACAAATCAATTGTAAGTTTCGGTGTTCCTCAAGGTTCCGTTTTAGGACCACTATTGTTTTCACTATATATTTTACCTCTTGGTGATGTCATTCGGAAACACAATGTTAACTTTCATTGCTATGCGGACGACACACAGCTCTACATTTCGATGAAACATGGTGAAGCCCCAAAATTGCCTACCTTAGAAGCATGTGTTTCAGACATAAGGAAGTGGATGGCGGCAAATGTTTTACTTTTAAACCGCCTGACGAAAACCCCAACACCTACCTGGCCTACCTCCCCATCAGCTCTGACAAATGCAACGGCAACACAGACAGTGAGGATGAAGGAGTGAAGACTAAGCTATGTAGTCCACCCGAAGAAGACAAGTCTGGTAGCCCGCCTGACATACCGCCAATAGGTACTGAACACTCTCCATGTTTAATTCTTTACATGCTTCATATAATAGGACATAGCTCTAAGGCCATCTTCTAACTTTTGTATGTTTACACACATAAACTCAATGGTATTAATTCACATTGACTCTGCTGATGTTACACTCACTCTGCGGATATGAATGCATTATATTTTTTGTTTGGTAATTGGTCAATCTACACATAACAGAGCAAACTGCCTGACATGATCAGAATTGATGGGTCTCTGTGCACTCTAACAACCTATATGTCTCTTCCCAGACTATGATGTGGGTTCCATGGAACGGAGGAGAGCGGGTGAGGTGGAGAACACTGTGCTGTCTGAAGACACAGACTGTGATGGTTCATCTCTACCAGAGGACTCTCCTGAGGTAGGTACATACTTGGTGAAGAACAGTGCTCTGAGGAGGCTCTGCCTCTAAGGCGGGGCTATTCAATTCCAGTCCTGGGGGGCCAAAACACTTCTGTATTTTGTTTGAACCTTGAAGTTAATTGCATTCACATCTGAGTTTCTGTGTTGTGTGTGAAATTCCAGACTTCCCGGAAAGCCATTTGTAAAGAGGAAAGTGTAGACGACCCACTGAATGAGAGGTAAGGGGGCCTCCAGTATTAATTTATATTCCAGAATACTGTGACTGAATGCAACCAGAGGACATTGAAAAATATATATATATTTTTTTTTTCACGTGTTCCCAGCTACCTGCAAAAGACTTCAGAGCAGCCAGAGGAAGATGAGATAACGTGGGGAAGTGACGAGCTGCCAATAGAGAACATGAACTCCAAATGCACTGACGGTAAGCTGCCTATAGAGACAATGAACCGCACCCAACCACTCAACCTCACCAATTTCCATCCCTTTGCCTGACCTTAAAGGGATAGTTCAGGATATTTTATTTCAGATGAACTCGTGGATTTTTATGTCTCTGAAGGAAGTTAGAGGTAGGTTTGCGAGCCAATGCTAACTAGTGTTAACGCAATGACTGGAAGTCTACAGGAACAGCTAGCATGGTAGAAGTTCCTGTGACTTCCAGTCATTGCGCTAACGCTAGTTAGTATTGGCTCGCAAAACTGCTGCACCTCTAAACTACGGCAGACTGGAGGGTGGCAGGTCGCCTAGCAGTTAAGAGCATTGGGCCAGTAACCGAAAGGTCGCTGGTTCGAATCATTGAGCCGACTAGGTGGCACTTAACCCGAATTGCACCTGTAAGTTGCTCTGGATAAGAGTGTCTGCTAAATGACTAAAATGTAATGTAAATAAATGTACATCCTCCTCCAAATGTAAAATGTAATGGATTTTCATGAGTGAGTGGTAATTGAAGTCTCTGTAGTAACATTATCCTTCCCTCCTCCTCAGACGGGCCCATCATCACAGAAGATGAGCTGACGTCTCTGCCCCTGGTGAAGGTGGTCCCTAACGGGCAGTACACTGGGCCCAAACTCAACACCGTGGTACGCATGCTGCGGGGCCTGCTCAAACAGAAGATCCCTTTGCAGGAGTTTGAGGTACGTACAGTCTGTTTCCCTTTTCGATCTAGAGAAGTATGGAAACATTAAACAATGTCAACTTATCCCCTCTTCATGTTTTTTATAGTTTAGTTTATTAGGATCCCCATTAGCTACTGCAGATGCAGTACCTACTCTTCCTGGGGTCCACATAAAACAAATACATTACAAAGTTCAGAACCGTAATAGACAAGAACAACATAAGATATTACATTAAATTCAAAATACAATTTAAATAAGTTATATATAGGAAAGACACCAAAAGACACCAAAAATACGATTTACACACTTCATATATACATATTCATATTCTTATATACCGTACAGTTAAATTAGATTTTTAGAAAGAGGAGAGGCACTGTTATACACTGCTTTTTTATCTATTTTTTAAAGCTTAACTTGCTTTCTGCCTGAGTAACCTCTGGTGGCAGAGCATTCCACGATGGCATGGCTCTATTCATAACTGAGTAACGCATTAAATCTGTTTTTGGTTTGGGTACCGTGAAGAAACCCATAGTGCCGTGTCTGGTGGGGTATGTATGTCTGTTTGAAGTGTATGCAAATAGATTATCCAAGTGGTTAGGCATTTTCAACACACAAATGTTTTTAAAAAGACTAGAAGAGAAGTAGTCTTTTTCTCCTCAACCCTCAACCATGAAAGAATATTATGCATGTTGTTGATGTTAGTTCTGTGTGTGCAGTTAAGGGCAAGTCATGCTGATTTGTTTTGAGCCAGCTGCAGCTTTGCTAGGTCTTTCTTCGCTGCAACTGATCATATTACCAGACAGTAATCAAGATGGGACAAGATCTAAGCCTGAACAACTAGTACAGTTGATGTTTTGTGTCATCTTTTTATAACATACATACCTCTCCCCATTTTCACAACAACTTTGTCAATATGACTTGACCATGATAACTGACCCTCCAATGTTACTCCTAGGAGTTCAGCTTGTTCAACTTGTTCAATGGTCACACCCACAACTCCAAATTAGGTTTAGGTCTAAGAGAATGATTTGAACCAAATACAATGCTTTTGGTTTTAGACGTATTTAAGAGCAGTTTATTGTTAATTACCCATTCTGACACTGACTGTAACTCCTTGCTAAGAGTCTCAGTGAGCTCACTGGCTGTAGGTGCTGATGTGTAGAGTGTGCAATCATCAGCATATATAGTCATTTTAGCTTCTTGTAAGACAAGTGGCAAATCATTTGTAGAAATAGAGAAGAGTAACGGCCCAAGGCAACTTCCCTGAGGGATACCGCACTGTACATATCTGATGTTAGAGAAGCTTCTATTGGATAAGTAACTCTCCAACCATGTGATGGCAGGTTATGTAAAGCCATAACAAGTGAGTTTTTTTTATAACAAATTATGATCAATAACATCAAAGGCTGCACTGAACTCTAGCAACACAGCTCCAACTATCATCTTATTATCCATTTATTTTAGCCAGTCATCAGTCATCTGAGTCAGTGCAGTACAAGTTGAGTGCCCTTCTCTATATGCATGCTGAAAGTCAGTAGTTAACCTGATCTCTCCATCATTTACTAAGAACAGGCAGCAAACTTATTGGGCAGCTGTTAGAGCCAGCAAAGGGTGCTTTACTATTTTAAGGTAGTGGAATTACTCTAGCTTCCTTCCACGCCTGTGGGTACATACTCCTTTAGACTTTTCTTAAAGACATGGCAAATAGGGGTGGCAATAGTCTGCTACCATTCTCAATAGTTTCCCATCTAGGTTGTCTATACCTGGTAAGTAGCCTAGTAAGTATTTGTATTTGTATTTATTATGGATCAACATTAGCTGCTGCCAAGGCGACATTAAGGCAGTTATACCATTTTAAAACCATTATGATATATTCACAACAGATTTCACAACACATTAAGTGTGTGCCCTCAGGCCCCTACTTTACTACCACATATCTACAACACAAAATCCATGTGTACGTGTGTGTATGTTATTGTGTGTTTGTATGCATGTGTCTGTGCCTATGTTTGTGTTGCTTCACAGTCCCCGCTGGTCCATAAGGTGTATTTCTATCTGTTTATTGAAGTCTAATTTTACTACTTGCATGAATAACTTGATGTGGAATAGAGTTCCATGTAGTAATGGCTATATGTACTACTGTGCGCCTTCCATAGTCTGTTCTGGACTTGGGACTATGAAGAGACCTCTGGTGGCATGTCTTGTGGGGTATGCATGGGTTTCTGAGCTCTGTGCCAGTAGTTCAAACAGACAGCTTGGTGCATTCAACATGTCAATACCTCTCACAAATACAAGTAGTGATGAAGTCAATCAAGTACTGATGTTTGCTCTCTGTGTACATCCAAGGGCCAGCCGTGCTGCCCTGTTCTGAGCCTATTGCAATTTTCCTAAGTCCCTCTTTGTGGAACCAACGACTGAACAGTAGTCCAGGTGCGACAACACTAGGGCATGTAGGACCTGCCTTGTTGATAGTGCTGTTAAAAGGCAGAGCAGCACTTTGTTATGTACAGACCACTCACCATCCTAGTTACTGTTGTATCAATATGTTTTGACCATGACAGTTTACAGTCCAGGTTTACTCCAAGCAGTTTAGACACCTCCACTTTTCCACATTATTCATTACAAGATTTCAAATCAAATCAAATCAAATTTTATTGGTCACATGCGCCGAATACAACAGGTGCAGACATTGCAGTGAAATGCTTACTTACAGCCCTTAACCAACAGTGCATTTATTTTAAACAAAAAAAGTAAGAATAAAACAACAACAAAAAAAAGTGTTGAGAAAAAAAGAGCAGAAGTAAAATAAAGTGACAGTAGGGAGGCTATATATACAGTAAAATAAAGTGACAGTAGGGAGGCTATATATACAGGGGGGTACCGTTGCAGAGTCAATTTGCGGGGGCACCGGCTAGTTGAGGTAGTTGAGGTAATATGTACATGTGGGTAGAGTTAAAGTGACTATGCATAAATACTTAACAGAGTAGCAGCAGCGTAAAAAGGATGGGGTGGGGGGGGCAGTGCAAATAGTCTGGGTAGCCATGATTAGCTGTTCAGGAGTCTTATGGCTTGGGGGTAGAAGCTGTTGAGAAGTCTTTTGGACCTAGACTTGGCACTCCGGTACCGCTTGCCGTGCGGTAGCAGAGAGAACAGTCTATGACTAGGGTGGCTGGAGTCTTTGACAATTTTGAGGGCCTTCCTCTGACACCGCCTGGTATAGAGGTCCTGGATGGCAGGGAGCTTTGCCCCAGTGATGTACTGGGCCGTACGCACTACCCTCTGTAGTGCCTTGCGGTCAGAGGCCAAGCAGTTGCCATACCAGGCGGTGATGCAACCAGTCAGGATGCTCTCGATGGTGCAGCTGTAGAATTTTTTGAGGATCTGAGGACCCATGCCAAATCTTTTTAGTCTCCTGAGGGGGAATAGGCTTTGTCGTGCCCTCTTCGATTTAGTTGAGGTTAAGGGTTTAGTGAATGATTTGTCCCAAATACAATGCTTTTAGTTTTTGAAATATTTAGGACTAACTTATTCCTTGCCACCCATTCTGAAACTAACTGCAGCTCTTTGTTAAGTGTTGCAGTCATTTCAGTCGCTGTAGTAGCTGACATGTATAGTGTTGAGTCATCTGCATACATAGACACTCTGGCTTTACTCAAAGCATGGCATGTCGTTAGTAAAGATTGAAAAAGGTAAGGTGCCTAGACAGCTGCCCTGGGGAATTCCTGATTCTACATGGATTATGTTGGAGAGGCTTCCATTAAAGAACACTTTCTGTGTTCTGTTAGACAGGTAACTCTTGATCCACAATATAGCAGGGGGTGTAAAGCCATAACACAGTAGTTCTTCCATCAGCAGACTATGATCGATAATGTTAAAAGCCACACTGAAGTCTAACAAAACAGCCCCCACAATCTTTTTATCATCGATTTCTCTCAACCAATCATCAGTCTTTTTTTTACCCTGTTTTCTCACCAATTGGTAGTTAAAGTATTATCCCATCGCTGCAACTAGCCTATGGACTCGGGAGAGGCAAAGGTTGAGAGCCGTGCGTCCTGTGAAACACGACCCTGCCAAGCTGCACTGCTTCTTCACACATTGCTCGCTTAACCCGGAAGCCAGCCGCACCAAACTGTCGACCAGCGTCAGCTTGCAGGCACCCAGCCCGCCACCAGGAGTCGCTAGAGCGCAATGGGACAAGGATATCCTGGCCTGCCAAACCCTCCCCTAACCTTGATGACGCTGGGCCAATTGTGCACCGCCTCATGGGTCTCCCGGTCACGGCCGGCTGTGACATAGCCTGGGATCGAACCCAGGTCTGTAGTGACGCCTCAAGGAATATGATGCAGAGCCTTAGACCACTGCGCCACTCGGGAGGCCCTCCCATCAGTCATTTGTGCAAGTGCTGTGCTTGTTGAATGTCCTTCCCTATAAGCGTGCTGAAAGTCTGTTGTCAATTTCTTTACTGTAAAATAGCATTGTATCTGGTCAAACACAATTTTTTCCAAAAGTTGACTAAGGGTTGGTAACAGGCTGATTGGTTGGCTATTTGGGTCAGTAAAGGGGGCTTTACTATTCTTAGGTAGTGGAAATACTTTTGCTTCCCTCCAGGCCTGAGGGCACACACTTTCTAGTAGGCTTAAATTGAAGATATGAGTGGCATTATCATCCGCTATTATTGTCAGTAATTTTCCATCCAAGTTGTCAGACCCCGGTGGCTTTTCATTGTTGATAGACAACAATATTTTTTTCACTTCTTTCACAGTCACTTTACGGTTTCAAAATTACAATGCTTTCATAATTTGGTCAGATATACTTGGATGTGTAGTGTCAGCGTTTGTTGCTGGCATGTCATGCCTAAGTTTGCTAATCTTGCCAATGAAAAAATCATTAAAGTAGTTGGCCATATCTTTGTGTTTTGTGATGAATGAGACATCTGATTCAATGAATGACGGAGCTGAGTTTGCCTTTTTGCCCAATTTTTATTTATTTAAGGTGCTCCAAAGCTTTTTACTATCATTCTTTATGTCATTTATCTTTGTTTCATAGTGTAGTTTCTTCTTCTTTTTATTCCGTTTAGTCATATGATTTCTCAATTTGCAGTACGTTTGCCAATCGGTTGTGCAGCCAGACTTATTTGCCATTCCTTTTGCCTCATCCCTCTCAACCATACCGTTTGTCAATTCCTCATCAATCCACAGTGATTTAACAGTTTTTACATTCTTTCTTAATGGGTGCATGCTTATCATTAACTGGGATAAGCAATTTCATAAATGTGTCAAGTGCAGTGTCTGGTTGCTCCTCATTACACACCACGGACCAACAAATATTATTTACATCAACAACATCGGAATCACTACAAAACTTATTGTATGACCTCTTATACACTATATTAGGCCCAGCCTTTGGAACTTTGGTTTCCCTAGATATGGCTACTTTATTGTGATCACTACATCGATGGATTTGGATACTGCTTTAAAGCAAATTTTGGCAGCATTAGTAAAGATTTGATCAATACATGTTGATGATTTCATTCCTGTGCTGTTTGTAACTACCCTGGTAGGTTGACTGAACCTGAACTAGGTTACAGGCACTGGTTACAGTTTGAAGCTTTCTCTTGAGTGGGCACCCAGAAAATATACCTCTCTGTTGATATCACATACATTATCAATAATTTCTCACATGTTATCCAGATACCGACTGTTAACACTTGGTGGTCTATGGCAGCTTCCCACCAGAATGGGCTTTAGGTGAGGCAGATGAACCTGTAGCCATATTACTTCAACAGTATTTAACCTGAGATCCTCTCTAATATTTACAGAAATATAAACGGCCACACCTCCACCTTTGGCATTTCTGTATTTTCTGTAGATCTTGTTACCATTTATTGCTACCACCGTATCATCAAAGGTGTATTATCTAAGTGAGTTTCAGAGATTTTCAGAATATGGATGTCATCTGTTACTAGCAAATTATTGATTTCATGAACCTTGTTTCTTAAGCTACATATGTTAACAGGGACTATTTTTAGCACTTTTCTGGGATGCTTGATTGTTTTTATTGCTTTACTGGGAAGCTTAGCAGAGGTAGACATGCTCATGTTATTTATGTTAGTGCAGGGTGAGCTGCACACAGTGGACTTCCTACTAGGGCACACTGCCTCAGTGCTAACAGTATCACTCTGGTTCATAGGTACATGGTTACTGCATACAATAGCTGTGGGATCAGCAGAGGCATTCAGGGCAGTAAGAGGGACATAAATTAGATTACTTACATTGTGTCTTCCAACGCCCCTGGAATAATGTACATTTTCTAAAGCATTATGACAACTCATCGACACAATGGTACGGATTAAATGAGCTGGGCTTGGGTAATTGATAAGTAATTGTCTCAACGCAGCCTTAAAATGCTGTGAAAGAATCCAGGAACCCAAAAGATTTGGGTGGATCCCAACCTCCTTATAAAACAATCTTTGTTTCCAGAAGGTATCAAAATTGTCAATAACAGTTACACCCACAGAGCTGCAATAGTCTCGTAGCCAGTTATGGAGGGCTAAAAGTCTGCTGAACCATGCAATGCCACGATTTGGGTAGGGCAGAGGGACAGTTATTATGGGGCATTTATTGGTGTCAAGTAGTGACCCAATTAGTTCTTTAAAATCCATCTTCAGCTGCATGAACTATGATAGACTCAATTTCCTGATGCTGGTTTAAAATGATTGGGAGCAGCTTATTGATGTCATGTACTCATGCTCCTGGATAGCACAATGTTTTTTGCTCCAGGGACTGAGACATTTCTCACCATTTAACTGCCCAATACAAATGCCGGAGAAGGGAATGGAGAAATCCGCCCATTCCCACCCCTCTCACAATTAGTTGAGCCTTTCATGGGCCCACGAGAAGCAGGATAGTGTATGCCCTCTGCTCCCGGCGATAGGGTCCAAACCTCCCACAGCCTTGCATGAGTAGCCTTGCACTAGCCTTGGTGGCTTATCAGTATTGATGGATATCAACCATTTTTCCCCCTCTTCCACACAAACTTGACCAAATTCAAAACGGCAATCCTTCTCTTTCATTATTAGATCTTCAATACACACAAATGATGGTTCACTGAATTGATCCAAGGGCCAGTTGCCCATCCCTGACATACATCAACACCTCCCCGTAGACATTCCTGTCTTTTATATAGATAATATATCCTTGTATTCCTACTGCTGGATCATCAAATGTGCTGTCTAAGTGAGTCTCAGAAATGGCTAATATATTAAGATTATCTAAAATTAGCAAATTACTAATCTCATGAACTTTGTTTCTGAGGCTACATATATTTATTTATATGAGCTAACTTTAACTTTTCCTGGGTAGCTTATATAAAACTGAACTCATAATGATAATCGGTCTTATTTCTAATAATTCAATTTCTGATAATAACAAAGAAGAAATTAATGGATTTTTGAACAGATGATGTACAGCAGATTTAGCTCGGCTGCTGCAGGGTGCTTTATTCATTGTGCCACTTCTGCTTAGCTGCCTTGCTGGACTGTTGGTCTATTCTGATTGGGGTGTTGTCCACTCTGGAAGGGACCCGAGGTTGTAGGGTGGAGCTGGCCTCTCTGGAAGGGGCCTGATGGTGTAGGTTGGCGCTGGCCTCTCTGGATGGGGCCCGATGTTGTAGGGTGGAGCTGGCCTCTCTGAAAGGGAATCGATGGTGTAAGGTGGAGCTGGCCTCTCTGGAAAGGGCCTGATGGTGTAGGGTGGAGCTGGCCTCTCTGGAAGGGGCCTGATGGTGTAGGGTGGAGCTGGCCTCTCTGGATGGGGCCCGATGTTGTAGGGTGGAGCTGGCCTCTCTGAAAGGGAATCGATGGTGTAAGGTGGAGCTGGCCTCTCTGGAAAGGGCCTGATGGTGTAGGGTGGAGCTGGCCTCTCTGGAAGGGGCCCGATGTTGTAGGGTGGAGCTAGACTCTCTGGATGGGGCCCGATGTTGTAGGGTGGAGCTGGCCTCTCTGAAAGGGAATCGATGGTGTAAGGTGGAGCTGGCCTCTCTGGAAAGGGCCCGATGGTGTAGGGTGGAGCTGGCCTCTCTGGAAGGGGCCCGATGTTGTAGGGTGGAGCTGGCCTCTCTGGATGGGGCCTGGTGGTGCAGGGTGGTGTTGGCCTGTATTTAGCTCTAAAGGGGATAAGCTTTACTGTATAGCTTGCATCGTTATTATCTGCAGACTGTTATGGCTACTGCCATTTGAAGTTTTACTTTATTAATTCTTGCTTACAGAAATGCAGAATTTACATCATTCATAATTGCATAGAATATAGCATAAGAAGACTCTCAGATACATAATACATGGCATAAATATAATAGATACATAATACAATACATTTATTTTCTTGAAAAACTGTATTGGTAAAAATGTATTGGTAAAAAAGACTATTTACTTGTGTCCATGGGACTGAGATTTAAGGCAGATTTATGCTTCTCTCAACAGAATCTGCAGAACCTTCAGCCGCTGGATGACTGTCTAATTGGCCAGACAAAGGAAAATAATAAGAAGAATCGCTACAAGAACATTGTCCCCTGTAAGTGTACAATGTAGATAAAATGTCTCAACGAAATAGCATTATCACTGAGAAGTGATACCTGTGGCTATAGCATCTCAAACGCATGAATATTTCTCTGCATCTACTTCAACTATAACCCAATGCAGTATATAACAAGCTGAATAAAACATTCTCCTCTGTTTTCTCTCTTGTTTCTCCAGTTGACACCACTAGAGTGATCCTGGGTAAAGATGGTGGCTACATAAACGCTAACTTTATCAACATGCCAGTGAAAGATGAGAACTTCATGTACATCGCTTGTCAAGGACCCCTACCCACCACTCTGGGTGACTTCTGGCAGATGGTCTGGGAGCAGAAATCCAAGGTCATCGCCATGATGACCCAGGACGTGGAAAGGGGAAAGGTCAAATGTCAACGGTACTGGCCCAACACCCCGCGGATGGCTGATATGGTGGGCGAACGCCTGCAGATCACCCTGGTCAAGGATCAGCACCTGGACAACTTTGTTATACGTCTCATCGAGGTCAAAGATATCCAGGTGAGATTTGAATGTACAGTATAAGGAGAAGAGTAATGGTCCCAGAGCAGAGCCTTGCAGGTCACCATACTTAACCGTGAATTTATTTATTTTGATGTCATTGTACTTCATTACCAAGTAAAGTATGAAGAAAATAAATAAAAATAAATGTACGCACTCACTAACTGTCGCTCTGGATAAGAGCGTCTGCTAAATGACTAAAATGTAAAAAAATTAAATGTAAAGGACAGGACACACCCCAGAAAGAAAGCTAGTTGATTATTTCATTTAATAAGGTTAAACAAACAGAAGCCAGTCCAGGGACGATTATTGTTTTTTAATGAGCATGGCCTTATTTCTATTACAGTATATTGGATGACTGTCATTCATATTCCATTCACCCAGCTCAATGTTACATCGATAGGTTTAGGCTACTACATGTCACTCGAATTTTCCCTACATAATACCCATCATGCGGTTGCTACAACCTAGCCTACAAATTAAAGTTTATAATGTAGGTGCACAGGTCGAGAGACAATTTGGAGTAATCAAGGTGACAGACAGTGACACATTCAATACCACCTTGCACACACTTGCCTGCATCTAGCTGATCTTGGGTGTAATCATTAGTACAAACAGTTGCAAAACGTTCCTCTGGAAATCGTCATAATTACTGTGTAAGTTTATGGGGGGTGAGAACTATGAGCCTCCTCGGTTTTGTACTGAAGTCAATGTACCCATAGGAGGATGGAAAATAGCTGTCCTCCGGCTACACCATGGTGCTACCCTAGAGGGTGCTGTTGAGGCTACTGTAGACCTTCATTGCAAAATAATGTGTTTTAATCAGTTATTTAGTGATGTTAATATATTTAGTATAGTTTTATCTAAAAAGGATTATTTAATGTTTCACAATTTTTTTTAAAATTAAATTCACTGAGTAGGATGGTCCTCCCCTTCCACCTCTGAGGAGCATCACTGATTTGGATCCTGTGTAAGGCATGAAGTGCAGCAGAGTGATACTGCCTATTCCATTTGCTCTTCTCCTATTCTAGACTGAAGAGATTCAACACGTCACCCACCTGAACTACACTGGTTGGCCAGACTACGGAACCCCCTCGCAGCCCTCGCAGCTGCTGACATTTATATCCTACATGAGGCACATCCACCAATCAGGAGCCATTATCACGCACTGCAGTGCAGGCATTGGCCGTTCCGGAACCCTCATTTGCATAGACGTGGTACTAGGCCTCATCAGTAAATATGCTGACGTAAGTATGATGACAATGTTGTAGCTATAGAGAGATATAATACAATATAATGTTATAGATTTAATCTGTGGGTATTGCTTTTTCTACTGTTTGCAAAAAATCCAACTGTATATCTTGTTTCTGAGGGATTGAAGTTTAAAAGATTTCTGTTTTAGTTTGATATTTCAGATGTGGTACGTAACATGAGGCTGCAGAGACAAGGAATGGTACAAACAGAGGTACATTGACCAATTTGACGCAATCTATTAATTTATATGATCAATGCTTGATGTTGATAATCGCTTTATAAAGCGAGTCTGAACATAGCATGTTAGCGTTTTTTTCGTCATGAATCTGGAGCCAGCTCTGCAGACTGGTCACTATCTGGCACAGCTACAAAGTAATCAAATCTGATTTTAAACCTAACCTTAACCCTAACCACACTGCTTAACAAAGACCAAAAAGTATATTTTTGTTTTCATGGATTTTGACAATATAGCCAATTTTGACTTTGCAGCTGCCTATCTAGCGGAAATCACACAGTTCTGTCTCCAGGCCAAGACTCATCCCAATAAATGTCAACCTACCTGTACATAACAGTAATTGTAACTGACACATTCTCTCCCATTGTGTTTCGGCCACACAGGAACAATATATATTCTGCTATCAAATGATCTTATACGTGTTGCGATGTCTTCAAGCAGAGGAGAACATCTCAGGATAGCAACCTTTAAAGTCACAATGCTGCACAATAATATAATCTCCAGCTGGTGAGAGCAGAACAATGATGGAGATTGGAGAGTTCACACACGACCTTTAAGACAGAACAGAACCAAGCAGTTGTTGCTGTGGGTTTACAAACCACTGCTCATCGTTCAATAATTGCCATAAAACATTTTGGACTAGTTTCCTGGATCCAGATTAAGCCTATTCCTGGACTAAAAAGCATGTTCAATGAAAGCGTTCCATTGAAAGTGCTTCAGTCCAGGGCAAGGCTTAATATGTGTCCAGGAAACCATCCTCTTGTTTCATGAAAGTAAATCTTACAGGAGTTTATTTGAGTTTTCTTTGGCTGCTACCCCTTCTCTTAATGCATACACAAGAATGAACGGTTGATTTGATGTCTTATCTACATGAAAACAATGCTTTTTATAGAATCAAGAATATTATGAAATAACTATGAAAGTTGATTAATGAATTCATATTTTAAATGTGGAACAAAATGTGTATTTTAAAGCTATTTTGATGCTGGAAGTTGCCTTGACAGAATACGACGACAGTATTTGCATTGTAGATCTTATTATTACGGTAATTGCTGACTGCTGCCAGTGGTAATCAATGACATTATTAAAGCGTACATATTAATCTCTTGAGAACTGTGGATAAGTTTTAATGTTACAACATGAACATTTTCCATTTGTAAATAAAAGAGTCAAACGTTTACATTTTGGTACTTTATTTAAACGCAGATGCTATTGCCACTAATAATGCAATTGCCACAAAAGAGTATGCCATTTGAAACACTGTTATTGATCATTATCACACTGAATGCAACCTTCCCCTTGGGTTAGGGATATTTTGAAGATATGGAAATGGCATATTCATTTCTGAAATTAAGAAAGATTTACTATGGCATCTGTGGAAATTCAGCATCACTGCTACGCCCAGAGGTCCATGTGATCCATATCAGAAATGTGTTCCCATTTGACTAAATGTCATGGTATCAAACATCTTGGTTGTAGCATAATTGAAGATTAGTATTGGTTTCATTCAACAGTTAAAAGGAACCAAATGTGAAGGGTTAAACCTAACCCAGGTTATTGGTCCCTGGTCATCAAGGATATGAGGATTTAGCCCAAATTGTGTAAAGTAACTTGACATCAATGTCAGATACCATAAACGTCAAATATGCACATGGATCTCAAGTCAATCCTGCCCCAAATGCAGATTACTATGGCTGGCGATCTTCTTCCCTATTTGAGGTTAAGCCAAGGAGCATGTTCAGTCTTTCAAGAGAAGTATCAATACGGTCTGATGCACTTAAAAGGTTGGTTGTAGATACGGCTGTTGGGTTGACCATATTACCGCCACACCGCAGTAAAATTCTATGTGTTGAGTCACGGTAATCGCCTTTGATGCACTCTGGACATGTTAGTGTTAGTAGTACCCAACTCGCTAATGATCATCAGGTCGCTAATGGCCTGGTACTCAGGGCTCTGTTGTCCCTCTAACCACTCTGACATCAATGCAAATGCAATCAAAAAGAGAGAGTGTGAACTGCTATTAAGTCACTGTGGAGAGCAGAAATGATTCTCTACAAAATAACATCAGTCCTGACACAGCACACAAGCTGGGAGGAGAGTAGTCTGATTAATCAGGCTGTAATACACAATTAATTGTTACGGTGCCTTGCAAAAGTATTCAGCCCCCTTGGCGTTTTTCCTATTTTGTTGCATTACAACCTGTAATTAAAATTGATTTTTATTTGGATTTCATGTAATGGACAAAATTGTCCAAATTGGTGAAGTGAAATGAAAAAAAATAACTTGTTTAAAAGAATTCACAAAAATAAATAACGGAAAAGTTGTGCGTGCATATGTATTCACCCCCTTTGCTATGAAGCCCCTAAATAAGATATTGTGCAACCAATTACCTTCAGAAGTCACATAATTAGTTAAATAAAGTCCACCTGTGTGCAATCTAAGTGTCACATGATCTGTCACATGATGTCAGTATATATACACCTGTTCTGAAAGACCCCAGAGTCTGCAACACCACTAAGCTAGCGGCACCATGAAGACCAAGGAGCTCTCAAAACAGGTCAGGGACAAAGTTGTGGAGAAGTACAGATCAGGGTTGGGTTATAAAAAACATATCCAAAACTGAACATCCCACGGAGCACCATTAAATCCATTATTAAAAAATTGAAAGAATATGGCAACACAACAAACCTGCCAAGAGAGGGCCACCCACCAAAACTCACGGACCAGGCAAGGAGGGCATTAATCAGAGAGGCAACAACAAGACCAAAGATAACCCTGAAGGAGCTGCAAAGCTCCACAGCGGAGATTGGAGTATCTGTCCATAGGACCACCTTAAGCCGTACACTCCACAGAGCTGGGCTTTATGAAAGAGTGGCCAGAAAAAAGCCATTGCTTAAAGAAAAATATAAGCAAACACATTTGGTGTTCACCAAAAGGCATGTGGGAGACTTCCCAAACATATGGAAGAAGGTACTCTGGTCAGATGAGATTAAAATTGAGCTTTTTGGCCATCAAGGAAAACGCTATGTCTGGCGCAAACCCAACACCTCTCATCACCCCGAGAACACCATCCCCACAGTGAAACATGGTGGTGGCAGCATCATGCTGTGGGGATGTTTTTCATCGGCAGGGACTGGGAAACTGGTCAGAATTGAAGGAATGATGGATGGCGCTAAATACAAGGAAATTCTTGAGGGAAACCTGTTTCAGTCTTCCAGAGATTTGAGACTGGGACGGTGGTTCACCTTCCAGCAGGACAATGACCCTAAGCATACTGCTAAAGCAACACTCGAGTGGTTTAAGGGGAAACATTTAAATGTCTTGGAATGGCCTAGTCAAAGCCCAGACCACAATCCAATTGAGAATCTGTGGTATGACTTAAAGATTGCTGTACACCAGCGGAACCCATCCAACTTGAAGGAGCTGGAGCACTTTTGCCTTGAAGAATGGGCAACAATCCCAGTGGCTAGATGGGCCAAGTTTATAGAGACATACCCCAGGAGACTTGCAGCTGTAATTGCTGCAAAAGGTGGCTCCAAAAAGTATTGAGGGGGGGGGGGGGGGGGGGGGGGGGGGGGGGGAATAGTTATGCACGCTCAAGTTTTCTTTTTTTTGGTCTTATTTCTTGTTTGTTTCACCCCAAAAAATATTTTGCATCTTCAAAGTGGTAGGCTTGTTGTGTAAATCAAATGATACAAACCCCCCAAAATCCATTTTAATTCCAGGTTGTAAGGCAACAAAATAGGGAAATGCCAAGGGGGTGAATACAGCCTGAAGCTAATGCCTGTTAATCAGGGGAGGATGGAGAACAATCCACTTTATTTTTTTGTATTGAAATTCAAAGAAAAAATTGAAAAATGCTCACAAAAAAAAAGTGTGGATTGTCCTCCATCCTCCCTTGATTTTGAATATACCATTTTCATTGTCATGGCATGCTTGGTTAGCTATTGACGAGAGAATACCAAATATCCACTATAAAACTAACTTTGCCACTGTACTGAACCGAACCATATTCTGTACCTACCGGCTCTTTAAAAAGTTGGGTAAACAATACTTTCCTGTGGATATTTTGGCTCAAATTATTTGCCGTTGAAGGGCAAACCGCTCAGACAACCGGTAGAGTAAGTTTAAATGTAATTTTATCCAACATTCTATCTTGTAAGGAACATTTACACGATTTTGCAGGCATTAGTTTCAGGCTGTATCAGTGGAGGCTCCTCAGAGGAGGAAGGGGATGACCATCCTCCTCAGTGAATTTCATAAAAATTAGACTTATACAGTAATTATGACAACTTCCAGAGGACGTCCTCAAACCTATCAGAGCTCTTGCAGCATGAACTCAATCAATGTCCACCCAATCAAAGAATCAGATAATAAATCTAGTAATGAAAGCATACGCTACAGCTAGCTAGCTAGCACTGCAGAAAATGTGGAGAGTAGTTGACTCAAAGAGAGAGAAAAACAATAGTTGAACCATTTTGAACAAATCTTTTTTTTGTGCACCTACGTTGTAAACTTTCTTTCATAGGCTAGGTTGTAGCAGCCTCATGATGGGTATAGGGAATATTAGAGTGTCATTTAGTAGCCTAAACCTATCGATGTTACATTGAGCTGCGTGACTGGAATATGAATGACAGTCATCCAATAAGCTGTAATAGAAATAAGGCCATGCACATCTTAAACGTCACCGACCGCCGCTGAGTGTACAAAACATTAAGAACACCTTCCCAATATTGAGTTGCGCACCCAAACCCCCAGACTGTAGTGACGCCGCAACACTGCGATGCAGGGCCTTAAACCACTGCGCCACTCGGGAGGTCCGTGGTGGACAATTCTTGTGTCATGACTGTCCACGAGAGTCCAAATAGGTCAGATCAGGTTTGCAATGAATAACTTCAATCAGACCCCCTTTCACCCGCAGAGGGTGGGGAGGGAAGGACTAGTGGGGGTTAACAACCACTGAAACTCTAACACGTTCAAAATCGAATACTGGAACAATATTTCTAACGTAGAACGTGGGGAAAGGTCGGAGGCGATCTATGGAACACTAATATCATTTTGTTTGTCATTTTGTGATGTCATAAAAAATGTTATAAAGGAAATACTGTAACTTGAAAAGTATACCCAGTACATATTTGACGTTGCCATACTATGCGTTGTGCATGTAATATGAAACATGATGAAAGTGTTTTTGTTAAGAGAGGGATGTGATTTGAGAAGTTATAAGAGATAATTGTTTTTCATAACTTTGCACAGTTAGTAGTCACCGCCTGAAGTGAGGTCAGAGAACGTGTCAGCCGGAACCGTCCCAGAGTGGAGGGGTTACAAATTAAAGCCATCCTGTTATGCTACGCCCATCACCCCACTGGGAATCATCGTTACGGCTGGCTAGCCTATCTTCAAAGAAGCATCTTCAAGAGCGAATGGAAGGTAAATCAACTCTGTAGTTCTGTTCAGGACTACACGACAAGTCGTCGGAGACCGGACATCTACGAAGAAGAGAATAACAGTAGAATACTTGTTGGAACCTTTTTGGACAATCAGAGCCTTACAATCGTGCCGCGAGAAGGCCCAACTCCCTTTCCAGGGCGGTCCTGTCCACCGAGAGAGATACATGGCGTACCAGGCATTTCACGTACAGTGGGGGAAAAAAGTATTTAGTCAGCCACCAATTGTGCAAGTTCTCCCACTTAAAAAGATGAGAGAGGCCTGTAATTTTCATCATAGGTACACGTCAACTATGACAGACAAATTGAGAAAACATTTTCCAGAAAATCACATTGTAGGATTTTTAATGAATTTATTTGCAAATTATGGTGGAAAATAAGTATTTGGTCACCTACAAACAAGCAAGATTTCTGGCTCTCACAGACCTGTAACTTCTTCTTTAAGAGGCTCCTCAGTCCTCCACTCGTTACCTGTATTTATGGCACCTGTTTGAACTTGTTATCAGTATAAAAGACACCTGTCCACAACCTCAAACTGTTAGGCAGCTCTCTCTCTGCTCTCCCCCTCCCCTCTGTATGTTCTTGATTGCAGGAGTGAAGTCTGGTGTGCGGGAGTCAGGGTTCCAGCTGCAGCTCATTCACCATAATCACCTCAGCCTTAAAGACCCGGTCAAACTTGCCACTCATCGTCAGATCATAGTCAAGACGACCATGTTAGTCTCGCTGCCGACTCAACCTGCTAGTTTTCGCTCTTTATGTTTTTGGCCTGTTCTATTTACTTTTCTCCTGTGCCACAGATTATTGGAACCTGACTCCTGTCTCCGCTTCACTCCTGCCACCACCATCCTTCCCATACTGACTCCTTGACTTTACCTCCTACTCCGTACTACTAAAGGGCCAAAAACTGGCAGACTGAAATCAGTGGGCCCGAAATTAAGTCCCGCACTCCCAACCCCCTTTAAACGTTAATGAAAAGGGAGGTTAAAAAACAGCGGGAAGGGGTGGCGGGTGTGGCTCAATTAAAAGGTACTAACCTTGCCTGAAAAAATTTTTGGGGAAACAGCTAACCACATTGAAAAAGGGTTCCCGGAGTACCCCGCTACTAGCTAGTTTTTTGTTGGCCCAAAAAGTAGGGGTGGGCACCCTCGTTTTCCCGGGAGCCCGGGCCCGGAATACGGGCCCTTAACCTAAAATAATTCCCAAACAAAACCGTAAAACCCCGGGGGAAACGACCAAAACCAACCACAAACCACCACAACTAAATATTCAAGGGTTTTTAAATTTTTACTAAAAACACCATATAAGAAAAAGCTTACCTCCTCCCTAGAGAAAAAAAAAACCCACGTATAGATCCCCACGGGTATATGTTTTGGTTGAGAAAGGGGTTTTATTTTTTTTGGAAGGGAAATATTTTAAATTAAGGGTTTTAAACCTTTAGCCCTCCTTTGAAGAATTTTTCCCCGAATTGGGTTAAAAAAAAATTGGGCCCCCCCCCCCGGGGGACGTTAGGGTTTTTTTAAAAACGTTATGAGTCTAAATTTGAGAGAATTTTTTAAAACATTTTTTAAAAAACTTTTGAGCCCCCGGGGGGGGGAAAACTTTTGGGGGGTAAAGAGATGTTTTTGGTAATGGTAAGAAAAAACTAAAAATTTGGAAATTTAAAAAAAAAGTGAAGATAAAAAACTTCAAAGTGGGATTTGGGTTCTAGGGTTTTGGGGTTTTTTGTGCTTTTTTTGTTCAGTTTTTACTTTTTTTGTCTGTTTTAAAAAAAAAAGGGGGGAACGCGGGGTCTGCCCTGTTTTTGGGCCCTTCAGGGGAAAAGTTGTTTGGGGGAGCCCCTCTCACCATAAAATGCACTGGTAAAAATGAGCTCGCATGTGGGGGATTTTGGGAAATTTAGAGTTCGCGGATGAGTGGGGCCACCCCCTGCCCAGGGAGCTGCTTTTAAACTTAGATTAAAAGCTGAAAAAAAAAGGGGGGGGATTTTAAATTAACACAATAAAAAAGATTTTTTTTGGGTTAAAAGTGGCTTGCTTTATTAAAAACTATTTAAATGAGATCCTTTTGAATTTATAAATAAGATTTTAATTTTTAACGGAAAAAAAATGAAAAAAAAAAAAACTATATAAAATTTGCGCTATTTAAAATATTCCTGATTTAAAGGGTTTTTCCCTTTTTTCTTAGCGGGGAATGGAACATAGGTATGTTTTAAAAAAAGGGTTTATTTAGGGTTTTAAAAAATTAACCCCCGGGGAGTGCAAAAAAGACAAATTTCCTTTCTGTTTCTTTTTTTTTCTTCTGTGATTTGAAAAAAAGGGGAAAGGAGGGGGAAAAAGGAGAGAGGGGGTTTGGGGCCCCAGTGCGGTCACGCGGATAGCGTGTGCTGCCCCGGATCCAGTCCAAATTTAAAGGGCCCCTTTCCTTTTTCTATCCCAAATTTTACTTTTCCCTTTACGGGATATAATAATACATTGTGAGCATAGAATTTTTCATTTTGGACCATTTGGGCGGGGGACTTGGCAACAACTGATAAATTTGATGTAATTGAAAATTGCCTTGGGGTTTTTTGTCCCTTGAGTTGTTTTGATTGAGTTGTTTTTGGAAATCCACACGAGATTTTTCCCTGAAAAATTTTAAATTTAAATTGGGTGCTTTTAAAAGCAAGGGGTTTTTGGGGGGTTGCGGGAGTGGGCTGGTTTGCAGGTTTTTTGTTTGCTCTAAATTTTGACTATTTTTTCCCTTTTACTTTTCTTTATCGGTTTGGGGTACAAATTGCCACTAATAAAAACTGGAAAAAAAAATAAAAAATATAAAAAAATAAAAATTAATCCAAAAAAATAAAAAATACAAAAAAAAAAATTTAATTAAGAAAGGGATAATATAATAAAATGATGATAAGCTACATGTTTAAAAGTTTTTTGGGTTTACAAATTAAATTTTGGTTTAAAAAAAATTAAAATAATAAAAAAAATTAAAATAAAGGAATATAAAAGAGTTTTTTACAAGGGGGAAAAAAAGGAAATAAAAAACTATGAAAGAAAACTTTTCTTTTTGATGTAGAAAAAAATAGTAATCCTTATTTAATGGTATGGAAAGGGTTTTATCTGGGAAATGGAAAAAAACTTTTGGCCTGCCCTTGAAAAACCATGGCCAGTGGAAGGGGATCTTAACCCAAACGTATAAAGGGAAAAAGCAAGTGTTTGTGTCCACATAAAAGGGGCCGATCAAAAAAAGGGGAAAAAAAGGGGAAAAAGAAAAAGAAAAGAGAAAAAGAGACGGGGGGGTTTTTTAAATTTTTTAAAAGGGGGCCAAAAACGGATAAAAGAAAAAAGGAACAGAGGGTATAGAAAAAATTTGGCAAAAAAAGGCAAAGGAAAACAGAAAAACAAAAGGCAGAAGTCAAAAAAAAACCCTTTCTCACATAGGGGATTCAGAAAAAGACCCCCCCCTTTCCCAAAAAGAAAAAGGGGTAGATTTTAAAGGACGCCAACCCTAAAGTTTTCCATGATCATTGGGGAGGGGGGTTTTTTGCATCAGAGACGAAGAATGAACAAATAATAAGAGGGGACAAGCAAAAGGAAACCACCATAAAGAGGGAACCCAAACTCCAAAAAAAAGATGAAAATGACATGTGGGGGAAAAAAGGGTAGAGTAAGGTTCGGGACAGGGAAAATTTTAAAAGATGATGAAAATGATGAAAAGGTGATTCAGAATTGATCTTTGGGTGGATAGGGACCCTGTGATCAAGGGTTTTTTTGGGGCCCAAGGGGAAAAAAAGGGGGGTAAAGGAATTGGGAAAGGGGAAGAAAGGTACAAGAGTCCAACTCTGATAAAGCAAGATAAAGGGACACGATGAAAAATTTGGGAATTAAAGGGGCTTCATGTTAAAGGGTTTTTAATCCAAAACAAGGGACTGCACGAAAAAAAAAAATAGAAAGAGATAAAAGATCGATGCATATCTGCTTGGTTTAAGGCGAAAAATTTTAAGAAGAATAAAAAAGTTTGGGGAAGAAAAACCCTAAAGAAGTGAAGATACAAAGGAAAAACTGCTAAAAAAAAGAATCCCCCAAAAATTTGGAAAAAAAAAAAAAAAACATTTGGGGCCAAAAAAAAGGGGAACACATTTAAAAGATGATGCCATTGAAAATTTCAGGACAAACCGGGAAAGATAACCCTTTTTGCAGAAATCCCGTTTGGTCAGATATATTGAGAAGTGCCTACTTTCAAGATGGGGGCATATCCTTGGATTTCAAAGTTGGAAAAAAATTCCGGGGGGAAAACCCAGTGGGCCCAATGGAACTTTAAGGATTTTTGGCAATCTTCTTGGGTTTCCCGGGGAGGGAAAAAATTTTTTAAGAGAGGGAACAATCAATATGGGGGGGGTTTCCCGGTAAATGATCCTAAATTTGTTAGCTGCAAAAGAAAATGGGCCCTGTGGAGACACGAAAGTTTTTTTCCCAACAAATGTGCACTGGACAAACTGTTGGACCCATAGGACAACAAAAAAATCCGAGAGCTATGTGTAAAAGATTTCCCTCAATTTGTGGAAAAAATTTTTACGGAAATACCCAAGATGTGAGCCCAAATAGAGCAAAATTTTGGGCGAGCAAAACTCCCAAAAGGGGGGACTGCCCTCACAGTAAAAAGCAAACTGGCAGAGGGGGTTGGGATTGGAAGGGGGGAAAAAAAGGTTGTCATACAGATCATTTTACCCCCATCAATTTGGGATCTGTAGGGGAAAAAGAACACAACCAGAAAAAAAAACGGGGCCCAAAAAAAATTTCCAGAAAACTCAATCAAATACAACTGGGGGAGAAAAAAAACAAGGAGAAAAAACAGGTTTTGGGTTTTTTATGCAGAATCAATTTTTCCCCAAAATTTCAAAAATCACTGCCCCCAGCTTAAAACCAAACCCCGGTCCAACCCCCCAATTTCCCCGGGCCAACTAGGGGAAAACCAGTTCTTTCATTCCACACCCCTTTTCTGGACAGACCCCGAATTGGAGGGGGAAAGAGGACAAGAAGGTTTGGGAAAGGAAGGGGAAAAGGAAGATTTAGAATACTTCCGCAATTTTCTTTAAGGGGGTTTTAAAATTGTGGAAGGGGGGCCCACTTTCCCCTTGAGTGTAAGGGGCCGGGAAGGAAATCCCCGGAGGGAATTTCAGGGGGAAGATCGGGGGGCCCATAAAGATAATCTGGAGGACCGGTGAACCCTTATGGGGTTTCCCGGAGCAAGGATTCTAGGGGTTGCCCATAAGATCCAAAAAGGGGGGTGTCAGTGGGTACGTCAGGACCCCGGAAAAAAATCCAAAAATTTTAGGTGAAAAATAAAAAAACGCCCCCCGGAGGTGAGGCGGAAGCCGGGTGCTTTTACCCGGTCCGGGTTTTTAAAATGCTCCCCCCATCTCCCTATGTCCAAATAAAAAATTTAAAGGGCCCAAACGGGGTTTGAGGGAGTGAAACAGCGGGTTCTCTTACGGAACCAATTGAGCTTGCTTTTAAAAAACAGAAAATTACCAAAACCCCCACTGGGAAAAGAAAAAAACCCCCTTTGCATTGTTGGGGGGAAAGAGAGGGTTGTGTAGATTGAACCTTTTACAATAAAAAGTGCCCACAGAGATGGATTCTTTTTCAGTATTTTTGGGTTTGGGAAAACTCAGGGCGATTTTTTGAAGGAGGCAAGATTTTGGGGGAAATTCATTGTGGCAAAAAAAAGCCAGTTGCGAGGCTTTTCCAAAAAACCATTTTTCCCTTGTACGCTCAAGTATTTCAAGGGAAAGCTTTCCCAATCAACCCAGAGGAAGGTTTTAGTCATCAACCAAAGGAAATTCAAATCAGCTCAGTTGCAAAAATTTTAGGACCCAAGGCGCAGCTATGAAAAATAAAAACAGAAAGATTAAACGGGTTTAAAAAATTTGAGATTGGAAGAAATGTGGCCCCATGTGACCTTTTTGGTTTTTAGAAGGCTACGAGCCCGAAAACAAATAGGAGAAATGATTACCCGAAGCTGAAAATTTTTTTTGTAAAGATGAAAGAATTTGGCCCATTTGGAGGGGTTTAAGATCACGTTTCTCAAAATCATATTTTTGGCTCAAGGGCAAGGAGCCACAACTGTTTCGGTGACACATGAACTATTTGCCCGGGGAAAATGGATTCGGACCCTATGAAAAAAGGGGAGGGTTCAAACCAAATTTCCCGAAAGTTTGGGGCTCACACAGACCGATATTGGACTTGGGGGAAACAGCCCCAAACCCGTGAAAGTTGAACTTCGAATAGGGCCCGACCCGAAAGATGGGAAGGGAATCCAAGGGAAACGAAAAAACCCCAAAAAATTTAAGGATTTTGTTATCGGTGGGAATAAAATTTTGGGCTGATATCAAAAAGTTAAAGCCCCAAGGGGAAATGGTTTGGGTTTTTGAAAAGGGCCCGAAGAATACCCAACCTTCGTCGCACAACTTTCTGAAAATTTTGGGGCTAACAAAGCGTTTTTTTGTTTAGCAAAGGAAAGCGGTGGAAAATATATGATTTTACATTTAAACACATAGTTTATTCATTTGTTTGGAAACAGTGGGGGGGAAAAGGGCAGGGTTTTTTAAAAAAACGGATGGTTTTCCAATACAACACACATACTAACTCACGGGAAAAATCCCCCCCCAGTCCCGACCCCCTACTTTTTATCCTTTTCCCCTCCGCTTTCCCCAAAACTACCACTCTGCCCCCAAAAGATGGGAACCCGCCGCAACCTTCCTCTCTCTCTCCCCCACTTCTCCTCTTCCATCCTATCTCCTTTGCCCCCTGCCCCCAATCCTTCTCCCCCATCTCCCGATTCTGCCTCCCCCCAAAACCCCCCTCTCCCCCTTTTTCATCCCCCTTTTTTTTCTTGCCCCTATCCTCCCCCCGGGTCGGTTCCCCCCCCCCCCAGCTTTGTGGGTTAGGGCTCCTTGTGAGCTCACAGAACCGAGCTCCGGGAGCTGAGGGGGAAAAAAAAAAAGGAAAAACTAGACCCCCCCTGCGGGCCCCGGGATCTTTTCACTTCCCCCCCCCCTCTACATTTTTTTATTGTTTCCCGCTGCCTTTAAGGCCAAATTTTTTACCACCCCTAAATTTCCCGGGTCTGCCGTTTTAACCCTAAAAGGAAGGAATTTATTTGTGGGGAAAAATTTAAAAAAATTTAAATGAACCCCGGAAAAATAACCCCCCAACCCCCCCAAAAAAAACCACCAAACCCCCCCCCCCCCCCCCCCCCCCCCCCCCCCCCCCCCCCCCCCCCCCCCCCCCCCCCCCCCCCCCCAGAAAAAATAATAAAAAATAAAATAAAATATTATTGCGCTATTTATAATATTCCTGAGTTTAAGCTGTTTGCTTATTTCTTAGCGCGAATGTGAACATAGGTATGTCTAAAAGGGTATTGTATGGTTAAAATAACCCAGTGAGTGCATAAAAGACTAAATTCTTGTCTGTTTCTTTTGTTCTTCTGTGATGTGAGAAACGAGAAGGAGGAGACAGAGAGAGAGGAGGTGCTGACCAGTGCGTCACGCGATAGCGTGTGCTGCCCCGGATCCAGTCCAATTAAGGCCAGTCCTGTTCTATCCACAAACTTACTTTCCCTTACAGGATATAATAGATACATTGTGTATGCATAGAATATTTCATGTTGTGACCATTTAGCAGGGACTTGGCAACAGACTGATCAATTGATGTAATTGAGAATTGCACTTTAGGGTTTTTGTGCATGAGTTGTTTTGATTAGAGTTGTGTTGGAAATCCAGCACTGAGATTATTCTGTAAAATTAAAGTGATTGGGTGCTTATTAAGCAATTGGTTTGTGGGTGCTGTAGTGTTGCTGGATTGCAGGTCTTTTGATTGCTCTGAAGTTGACTACTTTCCTTTACTTTTCTTTATCGGATGTGGTAAGATTGCCACTAATCAATAACTTGGTAGAATAAAAAATAAATAAATAATAATAATTAATTAATACTAAAAATAAAACATACAAAATAAAAAAATATTAATTAAGAAATGTATAATAATAATAAAAATGATGATAAGCTACATAGCTTAAAGTTTATTGGGTTTACTAATTAATTGGTTTAAAATAATAATAATAATAAAATAATTCACAATAAAGGAATATAAAAGAGTTGTTACAATGGGGAAAAAGGACATCAAAACTATGAAAGTAATTACTCCTGTTGATGTAGTACAAAATAGTAATCCTCTAGTTAATGGTATTGCAAGGTTATCTGGGAAATGGAATAAACGTTGGCCTGACATTGAACAACCATGGCCAGTGGAAGGGACTCTTAACCCAGACGTCATCAAGATAATGCAAGTGCTTGTGTCCACATATAAGGCAGATCAAAAGAAGGGGAAAAAAGGGGAACATAGTAAAGAAAAGAGACAAAGAGAGCTGGGGGTTCTTAAATTGTTTGAAAATGAGGGTCAAAAACTGATAAAAGATAAAAGAGACAGAGGTATAGAGAAAATGGCAAAAGAGGCAAAGGTAACAGAAAAACTAATGGCAGAAGTCAATACACCTTTCTCACATACGGATTCAGCAAAAAGACCCCCACCTTGCGAGAAAGAAGTAGAGTTTAAGGACGTCTATCCTCAGCTTCCAGTGATCATTCAGGAGGGTGATTATTGCATCAGAGACGAAGATGAACGAATAATAGAGAGAGGACAAGCAGAAACGACCATAAAGATGAATCCAAACTCCAAAAGTAAGATGAAAATGACATGTCTGGAAACTAAGGGTAGAGTGAGGTTCAGGAGCATGGAATTTGAAGATGATGATGATGATGATCAGAGTGATTCAGAAGTGATCATGGGTGGATATGACCCTGTGATCAGACGGAGGTTGGCCAGAGCGGAAAGAAGGGGTGATGGAAGTTGGAAGGAGAAGGATACAAGAGATCCGAACTCTGATGAAAGTCAAGATGAAGACAGCGATGAAGATTTGGAGATTAAAGGTGCTTCATGTTCAAGAGGATTTTATCCTACAATGACTAGCACAGAAGAAATAGAAAGAGATATAGATCGATGCATATCATGCTTGGATAAGGCGAATAATTTAGAAGAAGTAAGAAGATTGGAAGAACAACTCAAGAAGCTGAAGATACAGAAGGAAAAACTGCTGAAAAAAAGAATCTCAAAAATTGGAGAGGAAAAACATATTGAGGCCAAGAAAAGGGAACACAAGTAAGAAGATGATGCCAGTGATAATTCGAGGACAGAACCTGGAGTATAAGCCTTTGCAGAATACCGATATGTCAGATATACTTGAGAAGCTGCCTACTCTTCAAGATGGAGCATATCCTTGGATTTCAAAGTTGGAAGAAATTACGGTGGGAACACAGTCGGCCATAGGAGACATTAAGAGACTTTTGGCTAATCTTCTTGGGATTCCAGGTATGGAAGACATTTTTCAGAGAGCTGGACAATCAATATGTGGGGACTGCGGTGAATGATCCTGAATTGTTAGCTGCAAGTATAAATCGGCTGTGGAGAGCACTGAAAGATATGTTTCCAACAAATGTGCATCTGGACAACATTCTGATTGACCCACTAGGACAACAAGAAAATCCGAGAGCCTATGTGTCAAGAGTTCATCAAGTGTGGAGAAATATTACCGGAAATGATCCAGATGTGAGTCAAATAGAGCAGTCAATTTTGCGAGCTAAACTGCAGATGGGACTGCCCTCACCAGTAAGGAGCAAACTGGCAGAGGTGGTTGGACTTGGAAGCATGACAAAAGGTGTCTATACAGATCATATAGCCCATCAAGTGGATCTGTACCGGAAAAAGGAACACAACCAGAAAGAACAGGACCAAGAAACTCTCAGAAAACTCAATCAAATACAACTGGTGGAGAATAACAAGGAGAAGAAACAGGCTTTGGTTATGCAGAATCAATGTTCACCAAATCAACAATCACTGCCACAGCTTCAACCGAACCAGGTCCAACCGCAATTGTACCAGCCACCACTAGTGGGACCAGTTCTTTCATATCCACAGCCATTTTCTGGACAGACACAGAATTGGAGAGGAAGAGGACAAGAAGGCTTAGGAAGAGGAAGAGGAGGAAGATTTAAGCCATACTTCCAGCAATCTTCATAAGTGTGTTATAATTGTGGACAGGTTGGTCACTTTGCCCGTGAGTGTAATGGGCCAGGAGGAAATGCCAGAGGGAATTTCAGAGGAAGATACAGGGGCCAGTCAAGATCATCTGGAGGACCGGTGAACCCTTATAGGGTCCCGGAGCAAGGATTCTAGAGGTGCCCATAAGATCCGAAAGGGGGGTGTCAGCTGGTAGCGTCAGGACCGGAAAAATATCCAACAATTGAGGTGAAAGTAAACAACCGACCATTGGAGGTGATGGCGGATAGCGGAGCTGCTTTCACCTGTGTTCGGCTTGAAGATGCTACACATCTCCCTATGTCCAATCAACTAATTAGGACAATCGGATTTGAGGGAGTGAAACAGCTGATTCCTCTTACGGAACCAATTGAGCTCTGCTATAAAAATCAGAAAATTACAATACCCACACTGGTATCAGAACATACACCTATTGCATTGTTGGGAAGAGATGCATTGTGTAGATTGAACTGTACAATAAAAAGTGCCGACAGAGATGGATTCTTCTTCAGTATTTTGGATTGGAAATCTCAGTGCAGATTTTTTGAAGCAGGCTAAGATATGGGAGAAATTCATTGTGGCAAACATGCCAGTTGCGAGGCTTCCAGAATATCCATTTCATTGTACGCTCAAGTATTTCAAGAATGCTGCCCAATCAAACCCAGAGGAATGGTTGAGTCATCAACCAAAGAAAGTTCAACTCAGCTCATGTTGCATAATTTTAGGACCACAAGGAGCAGCTATGAAGATAAACACAGACGATTATCTGGATAAAGAATTTGAGATTGAGAAGAGTGTGCCACATGTGACCTTGTTGGTTTCAGAAGGCTACGAGCAGAAGCAAATAGGAGAAATGATGACAGAAGCTGAGAAAGCTGTTTTTGTACCGATGAAAGAGAATTTGGCGATTTGGAGGAGTGAAGATCAGCGATTTCTCAAAATCATGATTTCGGCTCAAGGACAAGGACAGCCACAAGCTGTACGGATGACACATGAATCTATTTGCAGTGCGAAGATGGATTCAGACCCTATGAAAGAGGAGATGTTGCAACAAGTTCCAGAATGTTTGTGGTCTCAACACAGTACCGATATTGGACTTGTGAAATCAGCCCAACCAGTGAAAGTTGAACTTCGACTAGGAGCCAGACCTGAAAGATGAAGCAATCCAAGGGATCGAACCACAAATTGAAGGATTTTGTTATCGTGTGGGAGATAAATTGTGTGCTGACTATGCAGTAGTTAAAGCCCAAGGAACTGGATTTGTTGTTGAAAAGGCTGAAGTAATACCACAGCCTGCGTCTGCACAACTTGCTGAACTTGTGGGGCTAACAGAAGCGTGTTTGTTAGCAGAAGGAAAGCGAGTGATGATATATACTGATTTAGCATATGCACATAGTGTATGTCATTTGTTTGGAGCAGTGTGGAAAGGTCGAGGGTTTAAGAAAACGGATGGTTCTCCAATACAACATCATGCATACTAATCTCACTGCAACTCCCCTCCATGTCTCCGACCACTACTTTGTATCCTTTTCTCTCTCGCTCTCCTCCAACACTACTCACTCTGCCCCTACACAGATGGTAATGCGCCGCCGCAACCTTCGCTCTCTCTCTCCCACTACTCTCTCCTCTTCCATCCTATCATCTCTTCCCTCTGCTCAATCCTTCTCCCTCCAATCTCCTGATTCTGCCTCCTCAACCCTCCTCTCCTCCCTTTCTGCATCCTTTGACTCTCTATGTCCCCTATCCTCCCGGCCGGCTCGGTCCCCCCCTCCAGCTCCGTGGCTTGATGACTCATTGTGAGCTCACAGAACAGAGCTCCGGGCAGCTGAGCGGAAATGGAAGAAAACTAGACTCCCTGCGGACCTGGCATCTTTTCACTCCCTCCTCTCTACATTTTCTTCATCTGTTTCTGCTGCTAAGGCCACTTTCTACCACTCTAAATTCCAAGCATCTGCCTCTAACCCTAGGAAGCTCTTTGCCACATTCTCCTCCCTGCTGAATCCTCCCCCCCCCCCCCCCCCCCCCCCCCCCCCCCCCCTCCCTCTCTGTGGATGACTTCGTCAACCACTTTGAAAAGAAGGTTGACGACATCCGATCCTCGTTTGTTAAGTCAAATGACACTGCTGGTCCTGCTCACACTGCCCTACCCTATGCTTTGACTTCTTTCTCCCCTCTCTCTCCAGATAAAATCTTGCGACTTGTGACTGCAGGCCGCCCAACAACCTGCCCGCTTGACCCTATCCCCTCCTCTCTTCTCCAGACCATCTCCGGTGACCTTCTCCCCTACCTCACCTCGCTGATCAACTCATCCTTGACCGCTGGCTATGTCCCTTCCGTCTTCAAGAGAGCGAGAGTTGCACCCCTTCTCCAAAAAACCAACACTCGATCCCTCTGATGTCAACAACTACAGACCAGTGTCCCTTCTTTCTTTTCTTTCCAAAACTATTGAGCGTGCCGTCTTTAGCCAACTCTCTTGCTATCTCTCTCAGAATGACCTTCTTGATCCAAACCAGTCAGGTTTCAAGACTGGTCATTCAACTGAGACTGCTCTTCTCTGTGTCACGGAGGCTCTCCGCACTGCTAAAGCTAACTCTCTCTCCTCTGCTCTTGTCCTTCTAGACCTGTCTGCTGCCTTTGATACTGTGAACCATCAGATCCTCCTCTCCACCCTCTCCGAGCTGGGCATCTCCGGCGCGGCTCACTCTTGGATTGCGTCCTACCTGACCGGTCGCTCCTACCAAGTGGCGTGGCGAGAAGCTGTCTCCGCACCACGTGCTCTCACCACTGGTGTCCCCCAGGGCTCAGTTCTAGGCCCTCTCCTATTCTCGCTATACACCAAGTCACTTGGCTCTGTCATATCCTCACATGGCCTCTCCTATCATTGCTACGCTGACGATAAACAACTAATCTTCTCCTTTCCCCCTTCTGATAACCAGGTGGCGAATCGCATCTCTGCATGTCTGGCAGACATATCAGTATGGATGACGGATCACCACCTCAAGCTGAACCTTGGCAAGACGGAGCTGCTCTTCCTCCCGGGGAAGGACTGCCCGTTCCATGATCTCGCCATCACGGTTGACAACTCCGTTGTGTCCTCCTCCCAGAGTGCGAAGAGCCTTGGCGTGACCCTGGACAACACCCTGTCGTTCTCCGCTAACATCAAGGCGGTGACCCGATCCTGTAGGTTCATGCTCTACAACATTCGGAGAGTACGACCCTGCCTTACACAGGAAGCGGCACAGGTCCTAATCCAGGCACTTGTCATCTCCCGTCTGGATTACTGCAACTCGCTGTTGGTTGGGCTCCCTGCCTGTGCCATTAAACCCCTACAACTCATCCAGAATTCCGCAGCCCGTCTGGTGTTCAACCTTCCCAAGTTCTCTCACGTCACCCCGCTCCTCCGCACACTCCACTGGCTTCCAGTTGAAGCTCGCATCTGTTACAAGACCATGGTGCTTGCCTATGGAGCTGTGAGGGGAACGGCACCTCCGTACCTTCAGGCTCCGATCAGTCCCTACACCCAAACGAGGGCATTGCGTTCATCCACCTCTGGCCTGCTGGCTCCCCTTCCTCTGCAGAAGCATAGTTCCCGCTCAGCCCAGTCAAAACTGTTCGCTGCTCTGGCACCCCAATGGTGGAACAAGCTCCCTCACGACGCCAGGACAGCGGAGTCACTCACCACCTTCCGGAGACATTTGAAACCCCACCTCTTTAAGGAATACCTGCGATAGGATAAAGTAATCCTTCTACCCCCCCGCCCCCCCCCCCCCCCCCCCCCCCCCCCCCCAAAAAAAATAGTATGTGGTTATCCCACTGGCTATAAGGTGAATGCACCAATTTGTAAGTCGCTCTGGATGAGAGCGTCTGCTAAATGACGGAAATGTAAATGTAATGAAGCCTAAAGAGATAGCGATAGCTAAGTGTGCAGCTCATAAAACCGATGTGTCATAAGTCACACAAGGGAACAAAGCTGCTGATGAAGCTGCAAAAGCCGTCACAGGAGCAGACAAATTGGGCAAAGTTTTTCTGGTCACTCATGGAGTGGACTTGGAAGACAAAATTACGCTTAAGGATGTGATTTTGATGTAGGAAGCTGCTTCTACGATCGACAAACAGTTATGGCTAGACCGAGGTGCCGTCAAAGATGCTACTGGTCTTTGGAGAAACCATGAGGGGTTGATAGTAGCGCCTCTAGACCTAATAGGTCTGATGATTCAGGAAGCACATGGGTTAGCTCATGTTGCAAGGGGGGAGGTTAGGAGAAAGATCACAAAGGAGTATGGTTTTTGGGCACCATATTTGCTTGAACAGGTTGACTATGTCATAGGCAGGTGCACAATCTGTCTGAAAAATAATGTTCGCAGGGGTGTGACTGTTATTCCTGGTTACATTCCAACACCAAGAGGTGAATAATATTTCCAACTAAGTGAAAAGATGCTCAGTCGGTTGCTAAGTTTTATAAACAGTCATAAACAGTGGGGATTTCCCAATTTAATATCCTCAGAAAATGGGAAAGAGTTTTGTGGATAAATCTGTGAAATTGATTTTTCAAAAACAAATTGGGGGAAAAAGTCACACCAAAACGTTAGGAAAACTAGGGTTGAAGTAACTCTAGGAAATTTTGAATATCTGATTGTGTGATAATTTTTCACATTTCTTTACATATTATTGTGATATTTAGTGTTTTCTTATGAATCAAAGGGGGGAAATGGAATGTGATTCATTTATATATATCATTTATATATTATTTTTGATATTGATGTTTTAATTTGCATGTGTTGTTTTGCAACAGATACTGGTTGGTGTTTTATTTTCTTCCAGAAGTATATGGGGGTGTGTAGAGTGGGATTCAAATACTCAAACATGGACAATATGAATGGACTGGAGGAAGTGGAACAAGGAATGTGTGGAAATGTTCAGATTCCATCATCAACGTTACATTGAAAGTCGACACTGCTGAGGAGATGCAGTGTAGTGGACCTACATACCAGTGTTTGCAATGATATATAGACATATTTGCATGGGTAATACATAATTTGTGTCATATTCTTTCTGTATTAATTTTTTGAAGAATGATGTAGCTTAAAATCATAGCTTAAAATGCATTGATAAAGATGTATAAATTGATCTGGAGTACTTAGGTGGTCGCCTGGGGCAGAGGGGCCATGAGAGAATTTTCCTGTCTTGATTGATTGATGGATATTTGGAATGTAAGCTGCCAGACAGGTTTTTCGCTCTTACACTCCATAACAATTTGTTTACACTCCACAAAAATGTGTCTATATAAAAATGTGTTTACTCTGCATAAATTTTGTTTTATTGCTAAAGTTACTCAAGAAAAATTGTTATTTGTCATAATTCTATTCTTTTTGTTTTCGAGACTTAATTAGTCTCGAAGGGGGGAAATATGTAGTATCTGAACAGGTTATAATTTTGGCTGACATTTGCAAATGGTCTATTAGATTAACTTTACTTTGCCTTGCTGAAACATCTGGAAAGCATTACTATAGGGGCCCCCTGAAACAGAGGATACTTGGATATGTGGAAGCCAGGAATTGGTCTATTCAAAACACCCATATTATGTTACATAGGATAAATACCATGGTTGGAACAAAGGATGGGGAGAATAATAATTTTTAGATTGGGTTAGTTGTTCTCCGGATTTCTGCAGAAATCTGTAAATTGACACTGGAACCTTTGATATAATAAACCTTTATAATCAAGTACAGTGTCAAGCGGATTTCTTGTCTACACAGCATATCAGCATCGTTGTCTCGACACCACAGGACCTTTAACATCTCCTCAAGTCCTCAACCTCTTTGTATCCAAGCGGTATTGTCTGTGAGAGAAAGACGAAAACGCTTTTAGACAATCAGAAGGGTCTAACTTAAGTTGCTTAATTTTGGGGGGGGGGGGGGGGGGGGGGGGGGTTATACTCATCATACTTATTAAAATATAAAGCATGACAACATAATTATCTTTCAACATAATCACTTATTTAGCTATAGTCTTTCTTACATCTAGCAACAGTTGGGCTGCGGACATTACCTCTCTTTCCACCTGCTCGCTCCCCGCGCCGAATAGAGTTGCTCATCATTGCTTTATTGGCTGACGGTCTGTCGGTGTTTCCAACACTGTACCCTGAAATGTCGAAGATGGAGGGTACTGCATCCGGCTTCAGGTTATGGGTCTTCACCTCAATTATCATCCCAGAAGCATTGAAATGTTTTCTATATGCATTTCTGAATGTTTGAAGTGGGTACTGCAAACCCTGAGTACGGGCACAACAGGTGGGCTTTGGCACTTCATAGCCACAAACCATTGTCGCAACACTGATTGTCGCTTGAGTGGTAGGGCATTTATTTATTTAGACTTTATTTTATGCGGGAGTCATACTGAGACCAAGGTCTCTTTTACAGATGAGCCTTGAATTACATAAATTACAGAAAATACACATATCAATATCAAGTAGAAAGAACAACATGGTCATAAAAACAAACGCATTCATCAGTAATAAGGTCCTCAATCAGCCTTCTGAATTGCCCTAGAGCCACCAAAACATCAAATTTAAGAACATTTTGAAGATTGTTCCACAAATAAGGTGCAAGAAAACAAAAGGCTGATTTACCTCACTCAGTAGAGACCAAAGGAATTTCCAGAGTTAACCATCCCTGAGACCGGGTGTGGTAACTCGTATGTCTAAAGTGTAATAAAGATGTTAGGTACTGTGGGATTTTTTGTAAAAGGGCTTTATAAATGAAAACATTGCAATGTATCAAAGTGACATCAAAGAGGGCCAACCAACTTTCTGGTAGAGAATTCAGTGATGAGTGCTAAAATTGTCACCCGTAATAAAACGCAGTGCACTATGATAAGCTGCATCTAACGGCTTTAATGAAGTGGCAGTTGCATTCATATAGATGATGTTGCTATAGTCTAGGACCGATAGGAACGTCGACTGAATATTCTGCTTTCTACTATTTAGCGAGAGGCAGGACCTATTTCTATAGAAGAAGCCCATTTTTATTCTCAGATTGTTAACTAACTCATCAATATGCTTTTTTCAAAAGACAGCTTTTCATCTATCCAGATGCCCAGATATTTGTAAGCAGGGACACGATCAATGTACCATCAAAAGTACATATGCTTAAATCATTAGAGTTATTTTTATGTCCTCTAGAGAACAACATATACTTAGTTTTACCTGCATTCAATACTAATTTCAGGTCAAGAAAGTTTTTCTGTAATACAATAAAGGCAGACTGTAGATAGAGCCTGGTCAACCGTGGGGGCAATAGCATATGCAACAGTATCATCGGCATACAAGTGCAGGTTACAGTTTTCTACAGACAAGTCGATATTGTTAATGTAAACAGTAAAAAGTACAGAACCCAGAATCAACACCTGCGGGAACCCTTTAGTAATATCCAGGAAACCTGATTTAATACCATCAATAGATTCACATTGAGTATCTGTCAAGTAATTTTTAAACCAGTTACATGCAGCCTGGTCTAGGCCAATTGAGGAAAGCTTCTGAATTAGCAGTGAGTGATCAACAGTATTGAAAGCCTTTGACAGGTCAATGAAGAGGGCAGCACAGTGTTGCCTTTTATCCTTACAGTTAACCACATAATTTATAACTACGGATGCAGCAGAGATAGTGCTATGACCTGGTCTAAAACCCGACTGATGTACATTTAAAATACATTTCAAAGATAAGAAAGATCTTAGCTGAGAATTAATCACGGATTGTAATATTATAGCTAGGCAAGAAAGTTTAGAAATGGGGTGATAATTATTTAGGTCACAAGGGTTACCACCTTTGTGAAGGGGGAGTACATGGGCCGCCTTCCAAACCTTGGGGCTATTGACGATGGAGGGTACTGCAGATATAATCGTCAGGTTAAAAATATGGGTTAATGATTCAGCAATCAGGGGGGCAGAAATGGATCAAGCATATCAGCCACAGTGGACTTTTTTGCATCAATCTTAAGGAAGGCATCTAGCACATCACAGATAGTAAATTGTTGAAATGAAAACAAAGACTAACTAGAAGTTCACGGGTTAACCGTTAAGTCAGCTAGAGGCTGGCAGAGGGAAGAGCAGTCGATTGACTGACCAGGATCAATTAAACCACAGTTTCTCTCAAATAAAAAGCCTGCCGAGATAAAATTCCATTCTTCTCAGTTATGATGCCAGACAGCACTTGCTTAGGCAGGGAAGAAGAGGAATTTGTATGCTTCAGTGAATTTACTGTTTTCCTCAATTTAGAAGGCTCACCAGCAGAGTCAGAAATTGAGCTTAAAAAGTAGCATGATTTAGCTTTCTTAATCAATATAGTACATCTGTTTCTCAATTGTCTGAAAGATTGCCAGTCCACCACAGAGTCAGTTTTCCTTGCTTTGGCCCAGGCCAGATTTCTCATCTGAATGAGCTCAGATAGCTCAGAAGAAAACCAAGGGTTAGATCTATCTTTGACTCTGAACTGTTTAAAAAGGGGCATGTTTATCTGCCAGAGGAATACATATGGAGGAGAAATGTTCTAAAGCCAACTCAGGATCAGGATTACAGGCGATAGTGGCTAAATCAGATTAGAACATGTCATGTAAAAACCCTTGTGGAAAAAACTTTTAAAAATGAATCTTCTTAATTAAACAAGGATTAGTATTTTGCTGTTTCGTATCTCTAATACATACTATGGGACAATGATCACTGAGATCATATGCAAATACTCCACTAGACAAATATTTATGGGGTTATTAGTAAGAATGAACTCAATCAATGAGGAGTTAACAGGGTTTTTCACATTTAGTCATGTGGGTTTTGAGATCAATTGAGTCAGATTAAAAACCATACATATACTCTTAAATTGACAAAAAAGTGTTAAACACTCTGATATAGCATCTGCCACGGTAGTGGACTCCTTCTGTTCTATAAAATTAATTACTACAGCCTGGGGATATACAGTAAGCCTCGTTTACGCCTCTTTTTTTGCTGTTTCTATCGAAGCCATTTTGAGCTAGCTGCTATCTAGAGAAGCTGTCAGCGAGACATGACCACACTGTCACAGCTAGCTGTACGGTTGGAAAATTTCAAACTCTGTTATGCACATACGCTGTATAAGCCTTAAACCTGTAAATTTCCACTGTCTGTTTCTGTCATGTAAGAAGAAGCTAGTGTTCTTCCACTCTTGTCTTTGTGTAACTTAGTCACGTGCCCAAAGACAAAGGGCCGTCTGAGAGTGACCACCGTTTTTGGTCCATCCTGTTCTTTTCGTATCATTCAAGGGCACAGTTGTGTGGAGATATGAAGAAAACAGAGGCTAACTTGAGCAGCAGCAGCTAGATAGTAACAAAACTGGCGTTATCACTTGTTTGTACGCTATGTTCCCACCAGGCTCTCACACATCTGCTAAACTGCCACGTAGACAAAGGTTATAAAAGCTGAGACCCAACTCTTGTTCGTTGGGTTCTTAACTCTGCACCATTGAGTGAATTGTTAACTGCTCCAGAATTGCAATTCTTATAATAAAGTTGTTTGAAGAATCTACAGTCTCTCTCTTCCTTTCTGGTTAGAATTTCCACGACAGCTGTCAGTGAGAAGTGACCATGCAGATGACATTTCCAAAGTTTTTATTTACATACTGGATGCAAGTTTTTGCAATTTTAGGGGTTCGGACATGCTTGGTGATCGTATTAGGTTTTAAGTTTTAAAAGTCCAGTAAGGTGGTGCATTCCGTGAAGAGCTAAAATAGGCTACAAAAACACACAAAAAGACGAGCGCATCGGTCTGGACCTGTTCAGGCCGTCAGTCGATACACTCAAGTAAATAAAATATAAAATAGCCTATATAATGATGATAGAATAGCTCATAGACTAGTTTAACTACTCGCTCCACTACTTGCTCCAACCACAACTTTCTACAATGTTGTCAAAGTAGACATTAATTGTCGGACACTCATAATGTTGTTGTTTTTCCTCACAGCTCTTCCTCTTCAACTAGTATCCCTTCGTACAGAAGTTCATTCAGCCTTCAAAAAGTATTCACAACCCTTGACCTTTTCCACATTTTGTTGTGTTACAGTCTGAATTTAAAATGGATTAAATTGAGATTTGTTGTCACTGGCCTACACACAATACCCCATAATATCAAAGTGGAATTCTATTTTTCAAATAATATAATTTTACAAATTAATTAAAAATGAAAAGCTGAAATGTCTTGAGTCAATAAGTATTCAACTCCTTTAGGCAAGCCTAAATGAGTTCAGGAGTAAAAATGTGCTTAACAAGTCACATAATAAGTTGCATGGACTCACTCTGTGTGCAATAATAGTGTTTAACATGATTTTTGAATGATTACCTCATCTCTCTACCCCACACATACAATTATCTGTAAGGTCCCTCAGTCGAGCAGTGAATTTCAAACACATATTCAACCACAAAGACCAGAGAGGTTTCCAATGCCTCGCAAATAAGGTCACCTACTGGTACATGGGTAAAAAATAAATAAAGGTGACATTTGATATCCCTTTGAGCATGGTGAAGTTATTAATTACATTTGGATAGTGTATCAATGCACCCAGTCACTACAAAGATACAGGCGTCCTTCCTAACTCAGTTGCCGGAGATGAAGGAAACCGCTCAGGAATTTCACCATGAGGCCAATGGTGACTTTAAAACAATTACAGAGTTTAACCTCTTAAGGATCGGACCCTTTTTTTCAATTTTTTGCCTAAAATGACATACCCAAATCTAACTGCCTGTAGCTGTCACGCCCTGACTCAGGGGACTCGTATATGTTGAGTCAGGGTGTGTAGTTTCTATGTTGTGTATTTCTATGTTGTAGTTCTAGTATGTCTAGATCTATGTTGGCCAGTGTGGTTCCCAATCAGAGGCAGCTGTAGCTCATTGTCTCTGATTGGGGACCATACTTAGGCAGCCTATTGGCACTATTGAGTTGTGGGATCTTGTTCCGTGTAGGTATGTTTTGTGTTCTACCTTGGACTTCACGTTTCGTTTGTTTATTGTTTTGTCGGTTGTTTATTCATTAAAATAAACATGTACGCATATCACGCTGCGCCTTGGTCCGTCCCGTTCATCAACGATCGTGACAGAAGATCCCACCAAACGAAGACCAAGCAGCGTGCCCAGGAAGAACGAATTGCCATGTCACAGGTGGGCAAATTGTGGTCATGGGAGGAGATATTCGCGGGGAAATGGCCATGGGCGAAGGTAGATGCCCAGGCAGGAGAGGAGCAACGGCAACACAGAGGACGCCGGTCGAGGACGAAGCCCGAGAGACAGCCCCAATATTTTTTTTGGGGGGGGCTAAAGGGGTGGTCGGGGTGGTCGGGGAGCAAGAGAGAAGAGCCCCAACCACTGCACCCAGTTGGTTTTCAGATTGGGTCCCTACGACCATGGGAAGAGGAGTGGGAACAGTATTATACTGAGGAGTCGGAGGATGACGACGACGACTAGGTTCTGTTCCCTAACTCGTGGGGGCTCCCGGAGGAGTCCTCACGGGAAGAGGAGTGCCGACGACGGAGACCCAAGAGGCAACCCCAATAACATTTTTGGGGGGGCACACGGGGTGGATGACGAGGCTACAGGAGGCTAAAAGGGAGAAGGAGAGTGTAGAGGCACGGCGAGAGGAGCTGGTTAGGCAAAAGAAGGAGCGGGGGTTAATAAAGGAACCCAGTCCCGCTCCTCGCACCAAGCAAGTGGTGCGTGTCGCCAGTCCGGTCCGGCCCGTTCCTGCTCCCCGCACTAAGCCAGTGGTGCGCGTCGCCTGCCCGGTCCGGCCTGTTCCTGTCCCTCGCACCAAGCCAGTGGTGCGCGTCGCCAGCCTGGCCCGGCCTGTTCCTGTCCCTCGCACCAAGCCAGTGGTGCGCGTCGCCAGCCTGGCCCGGCCTGTTCCTGCCCCTCGCACCAAGCCAGTGGTGCGCGTCGCCAGCCCGGCCCGGCCTGTTCCTGCCCCTCGCACCAAGCCAGTGGTGCGTGTGTCCAGTCCGGCACGGCCTGTGCCTGTTCCACCGGTGCCTGAGCAGTCCGCTCCACCGGGGTCCAGTCCAGATCCGGTCAGCGGCTCCACTCCGGAGCCAGAGCAGTCCGCTCCACCGGTGCCCAGTCCAGCTCCGGTCAGCGGCTCCAGTCTGGAGCCTGAGCAGTCCGCTCCACCGGTGCCCGGTCCAGCTCCGGTCAGCGGCTCCAGTCCAGACCCAGACGTCAGCCACTCTCCAGGTTCGGGGTCTCCCACACCAGGGTCCAGACAGGGCTTGGAGTATAGTGGAAGGAAGGAGAGGGGAAGCAACGCGCCGAGGTCTAGACCAGACCAGGGAGGCGAAGAGTGAGAGGTCGTCACGCCCTGAGCCGGATCCGCCTCCGAGGTGGAATGCCCACCCGGCCCCTACCCTGTTATGTTTATGTTGTGCGGTCGGAGTCCGCACCTTTGGGGGGGGGGGATACTGTCACGCCCTGACTCTGGGGACTCTTATTTGTTGAGTCAGGGTGTGATTTTCTATGTTGTATTTTCTATGTTTGGATCTAGTATGTTCTAGATCTATGTTGGCCGGTGTGGTTCCCAATCAGAGGCAGCTGTCGCTCGTTGTCTCTGATTGGGGACCATACTTAGGCAGCCTATTGGCACTAGTGGGTTGTGGGATCTTGTTCCGTTAAAGGTATGTTGTTTGTGTCTATCTTGGACGTTTCGTTTATTGTTTTGTTGAGTGTTATTTAAGTTTAAATAAACATGTATGCATATCACGCTGCGCCTTGGTCCGTCCCGTCTATGAACGAACGTGACATACAGTATAAACATGTCGTATTAAACAGCTTATTAACACTCCAAATAGGTCAGGAGCCAGACAGGTAGTCTAAGAAGGAAAATGAATTATTTAGGCTATATTATTATTAGCCTATTTTTTCAAGGCTATAGCCTATTAAGAAATAAATTGTGAAGCATTTGCAAGTGCGACACACTAGGCTGGCACGAACATTAATGTCACGACTATACCCTCCTGCGCCTGACTCCTTCTAATCACACTCATCACAATGAAGTGCTCAACATTTAAATAACATTTTGTTTTATTAAATCATTATAGTCTATAAATTGAGCATATAGGCTGTGACTTACTTAGAATTAAATAAAAATGTAAGTGCCTTCAAATTCACTTTTAGAAACATGAGTTTGGCCAGAGTCTGTGGGTTCAGGCTCATGCTATGGTGCCTGGAGAGCAGGCCAGCAGCGGAGAATACCCTCTCCGCACTTGCAGAGTCACTGGGGATGCTAAACACCCTTCGGGATACTCTTGCCAGGCTGGGCAGGGATGTGATTATTATTATTTTCTATAGGTAGGCCTAAAGGTTTTTAGGCAAAATAACCCTATCAAAACGTAAAGCTCCTTGAAAGAGGTAATATGTCAGGCCTATTGGGCCAAAATCAATAATAGCCTATTGTATAAATAATAGAATGAAAATGAACTGAACTTTTTAGATGTTTTTGTTTATAAATACTTTGCTACAATGACACACTTAGCTAGCTAACCACCTTGTTCTTTTCTGTTAGCTTGCGGGATACGTGTCTATTGACTATTGCTCTTGGTTCTCCTCATCTTTGTAAGTCACCTTGATTTTGCACATGTGAGTTTTATCAGTTTATTTATGAAAATATTTAGCGAACTCCATGACAGTAGCTAAAGCAAGGGGCTATAGCAGCACACAAGTAGCCTACAAATGCATGCTAGGCCGGGCATGCCCTGAGATCTTGAAGTGAGCAGTACTGGGGCGAAATTGGAGTGGGTGAGAAGGCTGCGCTTGGGCCTTTTGGAAACTCGCTCTGCTCCAGCTCCACCCCACTCACATAATGTGCTCTCTCTGCCCCATGGCAAAATGTATAGAATTGTTGGATTTTGTCCCTTGTTATATGCCAGCACATATGCTAGATTCCTCCTCTTCTGTGTAGAAGTCCTGCCAGGTTTGAAGTACTGTTAAATGTCATGTAGGCTGTGCTAACTGCTAACTAAACCATGCTGTTGTTTACTAGGGGCGACCCACAGAGTTGTCCACAGAGGCTAAGACCCAGGACTATGGAGAGATGGAGGCTAAGGACTACATCCCTGGAGCAGAGGTTCTGGAGGTGGAAGAGAAAGAGGAGGGAGAAGAGGTGGATGATGGTAAAGACTGGATGTATAATCCTCATTGTGTGGGATTATAGCACTGCAAACTTGTTTGGATTACATTTCTGCTGCAAGGACTCTCATTTGGATTTAACAAGGACAGGATTTCAGAAATGTACTAGACGATGTACATTTATGCTAGTATGTTCTGTTTGAAAATAGACTAGTTTAAATAGTTTAAAATATTGATTATTTGGTCAAAAGATAAAACAGTACATCATATAACATTATTACACCACTACATATCTACAATACAAAATGTACAATACAAAATGTATAATACCACCATACAACAATATTACAATGTATGTGTGTGTCTGTACCTTTGTGTGTGTCTCTTCACGGTCCCCGCTGTTCCATCAGTTACCTCTTTTTAGTTACCTGATGTGGAATAGAGTTCCATGTAGTGACGATGATGAAGACGGAGAATGGATCGATGTTCACCACTCCTCTGATGAAGACACCACAGAAATGGTAAGATTCTGAACCAGACATGTCCAATAAGAAATATTAAGTTATTTTTAAAAAACGTTTTAATACGTTTTGCGCTAATGGTGAATAAGGCATTCTGATTGGTGAATAAGGCATTCTGATTGGCGAATAAAGTATTCTAATTGGTGAATAAGGGATTCTGATTGGCCTGTGTGTGTGTCTTCCCCTCCAGGCTGAGAAGCTCAAGAGAATGGCTCCAGAGGAGAGGATGGCCAAGGCAGCAGCGGTCAGCTCCAGTCGACTCCTCACTCAGGACGACTTCAAAAAGATCTGTCTGGCTCAGATGGCTAAGGAGGTCAACTCTGCCCCTGGTAAAGGACAGAAGAGGATGGTCGTTGACGATGATGATGGTGAATGGTAAATTGTTGTTTTTTACCACGGATTAATAGATTTCAAAATGGGGTTGTTATAATGTTTATTGTGGTTATACAGTTGAAGTCGGATGTTTACATACACTTAGGTTGGAGTCGTTAAAACTTGTTTTTCAACCACTCCACAAATTTCTTGTTAACAAACTATAGTTTTGGCAAGTTGGTTAGGACATCTACTTTGTGCATGACACAAGTAATTTTTCCAACAATTGTTTACCAGATTATTTCACTTATAATTCACTGTATCACAATTCCAGTGGGTCAGAAGTTTACATACACTAAATTGACTGTGCTTTTAAACAGCTTGGAAAATTCCAGAAAATTATGTCATGGCTTTAGAAGCTTCTGATAAGCTAATTGACATCAAAATGTAGTTTAAATGTATTTGGCAAAGGCGTATGTAAACCTCCGACTTCAAATGTAGGTTTTGCCTGATGGGAATATCCTATTTAAAACACATTTAGTGTGATTAACAATTTCCAACAGTATGCACATGTGATCTGTGTTTAGCTGCCATTGATATGTAATACAGTATGTATCACGACTCAGGATATGACCCAGATGCAGACACAGGAGGCGGATAGTACAGTTCTCAATGATAATTTATTAGAACACGGGGCAGGCAAAGGGCAGGTCAAGGACAGGCAGAGGTTCGTAATCAGGTCAGAGTCAGGCAGGTACAGGACGGCAGGCAGGCTCGGGGTCAGGGCAGGCAGAATGGTCAGAACCGGGAAAACATGGAAATAAACACTTGAGAAACAGGAAAACAGCAAACCATGCTGGTAAGACCTGACAAGACAAGACGAACTGGCAACAGACAAACAGAGAACACAGGTATAAATGCACTGGGTATAATGGGGAAGATGGGGGACACCTGGAGGGGGTTGGAGACAATCACAAAGACTGATGAAACAGATCAGGTTGTGACCGTATGTGTGTACATCTTAACTAATAACATGCCTAACCGTTTTCAGAGGGGAAATCCTTACCTTGAGAGACATTGAAAAGCTGCACTAGAAACCCAAGGCAGACAAGGAATCACGATTAGCAACTGCACAGGTGAGAATCTCATCCCAATCAATCCCAACCAATCAATCTCTGAATTCTAGGAAATGGTTAGCCTCAGTTCGAGTCTTCAGCCGAATGATGAACAAGACTTGGGAGTATGGTCATGCAAAACTAGGGAAGTGTTGTCTCATGCGAGTGTTGGTTTGGTTTTGATCAAATGCTGGCCGGTCAGAGAGGAAGGACTTTGTGAGGAAGAGGAAGGAGAAGCTTAACCCATTCGCCTCCTCCAGCAACAAGAAGAGGAACAAGAACTTGATGAGACAATTGCAGCATAATTGTTAGATCTTCATTTATGTCAGTATTATTTATGTGTTTTATTTACATTTACATTTTTAGTCATTTAGCAGACGCTCTTATCCAGAGCGACTTACAGTTAGTGAATACATATTTTTTAACATATACTGGCCCCCGTGGGAATCGAACCCACAACCCTGGCGTTGCAAACGCCATGCTCTATCAACTGAGCTACATGCCTGCCGGCCATTCCCTCCCCTACCCTGGACGACGCTGGGCCAATTGTGCGCCGCCCATGAGTCTCCCGGTCGCGGCCGGCTGCGACAGAGCCTGGATTCAAACCAGGATCTCTAGTGGCACAGTTAGCACTGCGATGCAGTGCCTTAGACCACTGCGCCACTCAGGAGTATAATATTTATGTACTTTATGTTGGATCTATTTCTATCTCTCCATACAGATTGCTCTAAGAGATGCACTCATAAAGAGAAAGAAGCAATACAAATAGCAACATCATTGTGTGCCGTGGACTATGAAAATGATGGCTTTCATTAACTTGGGATGTTAAATGAAGATGGGGAATGGTATGTAACATCTTGCTGTCTTTGTAATTTTTCTGTATATGTAGTAGGCTATAATCACATTGCTGTCTATTAAAATATTTACAGTCAATCGTTTTCCCATTCTCCTATTTGCCTTTTTTTCAGTTTACTTAACATTTTTACACACCTTTGTGACCTCATAATGTGACGATAATGTTCCCGGAAACAAATTAAACGTAACTCATCTAGTCTGATTTATGTAATTGTGTAAATGTCCCAACAAGATTCCCAAGGAAAACACACATATAATGTGCAGACAGAAATCGGGCCACGCCAATTTTACTATGATGCCACCTTCAACCCCTTTGCCTACAAGTAAGCACAGTTAGAATCTGACCATTAGAGTTCATGTAATAGTTCTGTCATCTGGAATTTATTCACATTTGCAGCTATGGAGAGTTGAGTGGAACATTCCTATTAGAGATGATTATATGCACTTTTATTTTAGGCAGAGACTTCTAGGAGTCACCCAGTTTACAGATTAGTTTCTTGCCAACTTCAGAACAGAACAACATTACAGTTTACCAATATCACAGGAGATGGATTTGTTTCACACTAAGTACCTGAAACGTGTCAAGATCAAATGTGCTGCAACTATCAATGTAGATGGTAAGTAATTTATGAGAAAATCTATGCCCCCTGATAGTTTTAATCGTAGTGGATGTGGTCAATATTAATATATTTTTTCAGCAGAGAATAATAGGTTTGTGTCTAAAACTACATAAGTACATCCACCATAGGTATACTTTTTTTTGTTTAACTTAATTTATAGGACTTGATAATGTCCTGACCTGTGCAGGTCCGCTGTGCACTCAAACAAACAACTACACTCAAACAAACAACAAACAACTGAGTTCTGACTCTTTCTTAATGGTGAAGCTCTTGAGGAGGCCAGGTGTTGTGAGGCCTTCCGCCTGGAGCACCTGTCTTCAGGACCTGCTATTTGTCTCCAGACCCAGACACTGCAGGACAAGAGGGGATTCTCACGATCACCAAAGGCCCCCAGACCACCCCCGAGTTAGGAGAGTACAGAGAGACCTCAATGTTTCTCCCCATTAAACCACTGGATCATGTCATCAATGGAAATCATAGTTTGGTTATTCCACTGGTATATTTGGGTGTGTGTATCTTAGCCTCTTTCGCTCTGTCATCCATTACTGTGACGAGTACTGAGTATACGAAGAGGCAGGATGCAGACGCAGGAATTAACAAGGTCAAGGTCTACTTAACAAAGATAAATAACAAAGATAGAGTAAACGACACGAAGCTAAACAATCACACATAACATCATATAGCACAGTCCAGGGCTAAATAGGGGTGGTGATGAGATAATGAGGTGCAGGTACGCAGGAGGTGATTAGGGTGCATTGGGTTTCCATTCCGGTGTTGTCGAGGTGGTGTGCTCAGACCGGTGGCTCAGTACACTGGTGAATCAGAGCGCCGGAGGGGCGCAACGGGAGGAGACGTGACAGTAATCCCCCCCACCCGGACGCGCGGCTCCAGCCGCTGGACGTTGCCGGCCAGGAGTACGACCCCGAGGACGAGGAGCGGGCCGGTCAGGGCGGCGACAGAGGAAGTCCCAAATTAGTTTTGGGTCCAGAACGTCCCCAGCCGGAACCAAGCTCCTCTCCTCAGGACCATACCCCTCCCCGTCCACCAGGTAATAGAGCCGACCCCCACGGAACCTGGAGTTCAGCAGGTCCCTCACCGCATCGTCAATGTCCAGGGGCGGAGGAGGCGTATCCTGGGGGACGGCATCCGCCAGAGGACCAGGAACTACCGGCCTGAGGATAGACACATGAAAAGTGGGTGAGACACGGTAGTGAGGGGGAAGGAGCAGCTGGTATGATACCTCATTTATCCGTCGGAGGACCTTAAACTGCCCCACAAACCGGGGGCTCAGTTTCTTGCAGGGCAGGCGGAGAGGGAGGTTTTTTGTGGACAGCCAGATACAATCCCCAGGCTGGAATAGAGGGGCCTCACTGCGGTGGCAGTCGGCTTGGTCCTTCTGCCGACGAATGGCCCTCTGTAGATGGACATGGGTGGCATCCCAGACCTGTCCGGCCCTGTGGAACCACTCGTCGACAGCGGGCGCATCGGTCTGGCTGGGTGTCCAAGGGGACAGGGCCGGCTGGTACCCCAGGACGCACTGGAAGGGAGTGAGCCCCGTGGAGGAGTGAACAAAGGAGTTCTGGGCATATTCTGCCCAGGGAAGAAACCTCGCCCACTCACCCTGCCGGTCCTGATAGTGACAACGAAGAAACCTCCCCAGCTCCTGGTTCATTCGCTCCACCTGCCCATTCGACTGAGGCCTATACCCGGAAGTGAGGCTGGCCGTGGCCCCGATCTTCTCCAGGAAAGCCTTCCACACTCGGGAGGTAAATTTGGGGCCACGGTCCGAGACGATGTCCTCCGGAAGTCCATAATGCCGGAAGACCTGTTGGAACAGGACCTCAGTGACCTGGAGAGCAGAAGGAAGACCAGTTAGTGGCAAAAAACGGCATGATTTGGAGAACCGATCTATGACCACCATGACTGTGGTGAACTGTCAGAACGTGGAAGGTCGGTGACAAAGTCTATGGACAGTTGTGACCAAGGTCTCTGAGGCACTGGGAGAGGAACTAGTTTGCCTGCCGGGGCATTCCAAGGTTTCTTCGTTTGGGCACATACGGAACAGGAGTTGACATAGCGGGAGACATCAGAAGCCAAGGTGGGCCACCAGTATTTTTGGGCTAGAGAATGCAGGGTGCGCTTAATACCAGAGTGCCCTGCCGTAAGGGTAGTGTGAGCCCAGATCAGCAGGCGTCACGGACACTGGTGGGTACATACACGCGCCCCGGAGGGGCGTTGGCAGGCACTGGGTCCTCCTGAGCCGCCAGGCGGATGTCTTTGTTCACATCCCAAACGACAGGTGCAACGATGAGAGACGGAGGCTGGATAGGACCCCCCAGATCCTTCCTTTCTCCGGCATGGTGCATCCTGGAGAGTGCGTCGGTCTTCACATTCTGGGATCCTGGGCGGTAGGACACAATGAATTGGAAGCGACTGAGAAATTGAAACCACCTGGCTTGACGAGAGTTCATCCGTTTCGCTGCCCGTATGTGCTCCAAATTCCGGTGGTCAGTAAGAATCCGGAATGGATGGACTGCGCCCTCCAGCCAGTGTCTCCATTCCTCCAGAGCGAGGACCACCACCAACATCTCCCTGTCTCCAACTCCATAGTTCCTCTCTGTGTGGGTAAGCTTTTTAGAGAAAAAGGCACAGGGATACATTTTCTCTGGCTTACCGTGCCGCTGGGAGGAACTGCACCCACGCCCTCCTCTGATGCGTCCACCTCCAAGATGAAAGGACGAGATGGATCTGGGTGTTTAAGGACGGGGCGCTGTGGTGAACCTCTCCTTCAGCCTCTTTAAGGCATTGTCAGCCTCAGGGTTCCAGGCCAGTTTCTGAGGCCCACCCTTAAGGAGAGAGGTGAGCGGGGCGGCTATGGCGCTGAAGGACCTGATGAAACGCCGGTAGAAATTAGCGAAGCCCAGGAAGCTCAGTAGGCCCTTGATGGTGGTGGGAACTGGCCATAACCTGATGGCATCCGTCTTCACTCCTTCCATGAACACCCCCTGAGGACTGATCCGGTATCCCAGGAAGGAGATGGCCTGTTGGTGGAATTCGAATTTCTCCCCCTTCACCAACAGGCTGTGTTCACGGAGGCGGAGTAGGACAGCTCGGACGTCCCTGATGTGCTCCTCGAACGTAGCCGAGTAGATCAGGATATCGTCAATGTACACCCCTTCCTGTCCACTCAGCATATCCCGGAACATGTCATTGATGAAGGACTGGAACACAGAAGGTGCGTTGGCGAGGCCGTAGGAAATGACGCAGTATTCATAGCGGCCTGAGGTAGTGCTGAATGCCGTCTTCCACTCGTCTCCTTCCCGGATTCAGATCAGGTTGTAGGCACTCCTCAGGTCCAAATTGGTAAGGTACCGGGCCCCTCGTAGCTGCTCGATGGCCGACGGAAGCAGAGGGAGGGGGTACCGGTAGTCAATGCATGATCTCAGTCCTCCGTCTTTTTTGGCCACGAAGAAGAAGCTGGCGGAGGCAGGAGAGGTAGAGCGTCTGATGAACCCCTGTTTCAGGCTCTCCTCCACATACTTCTCCATGGCCTCAGACTACGCCATGGAAAGGGGGTAAATGCGACTCTTCGGGAGGGTGTTGTCCCTCCAGCAGGTCAATGGCGCAGTCCCAGGGATTGGAAGGAGGGAGACACTTAGCCTTTAATGAAGAGAAGACGTTGGTGAGATCTGCGTACTCACATGGAATGTTGGGCTGGAGGGCGGACTCCGGACTCTCCACTGACGTGGAACAAGAAACCACTGGCAGGCAGGTCTTCCGGCATGAGGTTGACCAGGCTGTGATCCTCTTGGTGCTCCAATTGATGGTGGGGTTGTGTAGTCTGAGCCAGGGCAATCCCAAGATGATCCAGTGAAGGGGTGACGTGACGATGTGGAATGACAGCTCCTCGTGGTGCTCCGGTAGTGTGGGAATGGTGATGGTGATGGGGTGTGTGACGTGCGTAATGGTGCCTGAACCAAGGGGTTTATTGTCCAGTGAGGTGACGTGTAGCGGAGATGGCAGTGGCACGGTGGGCAACCCCCATTCAGAGACCAGCTCCCTATCTATAAGGTTCCCCGCTGATCCGGAATCTATCATAGCAGTAGAAATGGAAGAGAAGGAATAACCAGACACCGTTATGGGAACTAAAAACAATGGTTTTGTGATAGGAGCTGACGTAACACTCACAGAGCGGCGACGGGAGTCATACCGCCTAGATAGGGAGCCGCCAGGAGATCTGTGGTCCGTGGTGGTGTAGGGGGTGCTGCCCACTTCCATGGGTGAGGACTCGGAAGCTCAGATAGGGTGAGCGTCGAGACTCCGGGAGGTGTTGGGAACGCCGTCTTGATGTCCTCCCGTAAACCTCTCCTGAAGGCCGTACGCAGAGCACGCTTATTCCAGCCGGAAGACGCCGCCACCATGCGAAAGCTCAGAGCGTACTCGGACGCAGGCCCCTCTCTCTGTTTTAGATGGAGGAGACGCTCACCCCCGTTCTTTCACTCCGTGGGATGATCAAACACCGCCCTGAACCGAGCGAGGAAGGTGGGGTAGGGTAGTGCCACTGCTTCCTCTCCTTCCCAGATTGCTGTGGCCCAATCCAGCGCCTTTCCTTTAAGTAGCGAAATCCCCAGCGATTTCCTGGCTTGGTCAGATGGATATGCCCCAGGCTGACACACCAGATAAAGTGAAACCTGTAGCAGGAAGCTGCTACATTTAGTAGTTTTACCGTCATAGCGCTCCGGTAGGGCGAGGGTTCCCGCAGAAGTGGGTGATAGCATGGGAACAGGTGGATTGGGGGCACTCACCGCTCCCTAAAGGTGGAACCGGAGCGTTGGGCAGATTATGCAGAGTTTGGATCATTTCCTGCATGGCGGCGTTGAACTGGGCAAGCTGCTGCTGCTGCTGGTGCTGGTCGAGGCACTGGGAAACTCCTGCTGCATCTATTTTGGTTTGGTGTGTGACGAGTACTGAGTATATGTAGAGGCAGGTCGCAGACGCAGGAATTAACAAGGTCAAGGTTTACTTAACAAAGAGAAATAACAAAGATAGAGTAAACGACACAAAGCTAAACAATCACACACAACATCATACAGCACAGTCCCGGGCTAAATAGGGGTGGTGATGAGATGATGAGGTGCAGGTGCGCAGGAGGTGATTAGGGTGCGTTCGGTTTCCATTCCGGTATTGCCGAGGTCGTGCGCTCAGACCGGTGGCTCAGTAGACCGGCGAATCAGAGCACCAGAGGGGCGCAACAGGAGGAGATGTGACAATTACATTGGATTCCCATCGCTGAAGTTTGTATAATCATGCCACCAGAATATTTGCCAGTTTCCCATAACCTGTTTACTTACCAGAATAATTACCTGTTTCCGAAAAACATTTCTCATTACCGAAGGCATATCTTTAATCTGGAATCCAATGTAATGGATTAATAATAATAATAATATGCCATTTAGCAGACGCTTTTATCCAAAGCGACTTACAGTCATGTGTGCATACATTTTTACGTATGGGGGGTCCTGGGGATCGAACCCACTACCCTGGCGTTACAAGCGCCATGCTCTACCAATTGAGCTACAGAGGACCATTAACGAATGACTGAGTGAAAGTGTGTGTGCTGCCTTCGTACGCTAGGAAAGGGTCAAGTTCATGATTTGGACCAGGGTAGGGGTAATCTAACCAACTAAAAAACAACTGTAGAGTTAAGCGGATTACTATCGGTTGCCAATAGTAACGGGTATTCCATAGGCCATTCACTCATTCCAGTGTTTTTCAGTTAGGGGAGTGCAGAGCTGAGGAGGGAAGGGAAGAAGACTGGGGCTCATATGGCCCTCCTGCCTTCCAGTCCCCCTCAGTCTTTGTTTTTATCCATCTGGAAGTTGGACTGAACATGTTGAACAGCAGCAGTGGTTTCACAGCGGAGTGTGATGGCGAGGGGAATGGGTCCCTGGCTGGGCTGGGTGGTCTAGGGGTGGATGGGTCAGACGGCGCTCTACACCGGGCCCTGGGTGTTGTCCTAACTGTCATGTTAGCCCTGGTAGTCTTCTCTCTGGGCTGCACCGTGGATGTAGGGAATCTCTGACTCCACCTGCGCCGGCCCAGGGGTATCCTGGTAGGGCTGCTGTGCCAGTTTGGCTTCTCACAGCCTACCTGCTGATTCTCGGATTCTCTGTCCAACCTGTGCAGTCAGTGGCTATAATTTTCATGGGCTGCTGTCCTGGAGGAGTCATCTCCAACATCATCACATACTGGATCGAAGGGGACATGGACCTCAGGTTGGTGGGTTTACTTTGGTTGCGTCTCAAGTGGCATCCTATTCCCTATATAATGCATTACTTTTGACTAGAACCCTGGTCAAAAGTAGTGCACTATGTAGGAAATAGGGTGCCATTTGGGATGTAGACTTTCTTTTGTGGATTCTCAAATCAACAGTCAACAAAACCTTTGTTCTAAAGGTAAACGTGATGTCAGCTGTATGAGATAAGATTCCATGGCAGCTCCATGGACACCTAGGAATGGGAAGGGACTTGATCTAATGAATAATGCTCACTGACTTTAATAGTATGTATATAAGCAGAATTTCATAGCAAGTACACAGTAATAAGGAGCTTATTGCACACCTACACATCTGTGTCAATCTTTAGAAACCTTTACTCCTCCCTTCCCTTTCCCATATTATAGGATGTTAACATTATATGATGATCTATGAGAATGTATGAAATGCCTATTACAACAGGTTTGAATTGTATGGTCCAGCCATTTACAGCCATTTTGTTGGATATTGAATCGAACAGTGAGGGCGATATTAAAGTGGTCCAGTGTAAACATTAACTCAGGTGACACAGGGGCTCCATTCAGAACCTGATGGAGTTGACACTTATACCCCATGATCAGCTGGTTCTCTGTGAACACGTCTCCTATCATTACAAGGTCATGGGCTGGTCATCCTGCTAGGCTAACCCGTCTGTCTGTTGTTTTGTCTGTTGCCGTCTATTGCTGTAGCATCACCATGACGACAATCTCTACAGTTCTTGGTTTGGGTATGATGCCTCTGGGTCTGTACGTCTACACATACTCCTGGGTGGAGGCAGGCACCATCTGAGTACCCTACTTTAATATTGGTAATGACCTTTTGGTTCTTTCACATTTCAATAAATTGCAGTTTAAATTTGTTTGCCTTCTTGATGTTTTGAATCTTCTCTCTCTTCGGTCTCGCTGTTTCCTTCTATCTCTCTCTCTCTCTCTCTCTCTCTCTCTCTCTCTCTCTCTCTCTCTCTCTCTATCTATCTATCTGACTATTTCTCTCTCGCTCTCACACTCTCTCACTTTTTCCATCTCTGACTCCTCAACTTTTTAATCTGGGAGAGAGCAGTGTGATAACTCTGTAGGTCAGAAACTGTATGAACATTCAAATGCACTGGAATGGAATTATAGTTCACCAGCAGTCTAGGATTAGGGCTTGAAACGATGGCTACGTAACATGTTGGTCATTTGGAGTCATGCTTCTGGTCTGATGTTATTCAATATGTCACGATTCTCTAAAGCGGAATCCAGAAGCAGACCAGGACAAGGTGAGTAGACTGAAGGTGAGTATTTATTTAAAGACTTAAATGTGGAAGCAGGAGAATCCAGGTGACTGAGCTGGCAGTGGAGGTGAGTTGGTGGGAGTGAATGGGCAGATCCAATGATGTTTCTGAAGCCACAGACGACCAGGCAGAGGTGGAGTGAATATTCCGGGAGAGTAATGTTCATGGCTAATGATCCGGCAGGGAATGGATGTCAGGTCAGAGCTTATGAAGTGGAGAGGTGATGATCAGAACCAGGTGTGCAGATAGCTGATGAGATGCAGGTGCGGGTAATGGAGAGATCTCCCGCCTTGCTTCGTCGCCCGGTAACCAGACAGGGTGCGTTCAGGAAACTCAGGAAAAAAGACTCCAGGACAGAAAACAGGCAACTCAGGCAGAAACCGACTCAGGAAGCGGGGTTCATGACAGTACCCCCCCTCCGACGAACGCCACCGGGCGGACTACCCGGAGCGCCAGGATGGAAGCGGTAGAAGTCACGAAGGAGGTCAGCATCAAGGATCTGATGCCGAGGAATCCAACTCCTCTCCTCAGGACCATAACCCTCCCAGTCCACGAGATACTGGAAACCCCGACCCCACCGTCTCGAATCCATGATGCGGCGCACTGTGTAGACAGGACCACCGCCGATCATCCGAGGAGGAGGAGGACGAGGAGGAGGGGGCAACAGAGGACTGAGGAGAACAGGCTTGAGGCAGGAGACATGAAAGGCGGGATGGACTCTGAGCGTTTTAGGCAATTTGAGTCGAACCACAGCAGGATTAATGACCTTCTCCACCACAAACGGACCAATGAACTTAGGTGACAGTTTCCTCGACTCTGTCCGCAGAGGAAGATCCTGTGTAGCCAACCAGACCTTATCTCCGACGGAATAAGCGGGGGCTGGAATACGGCGACGATTAGCCTGGAGCTGATACCGGTCAGAAACTCTAAGGAGGGCCTTTCTGGCCCGATGCCAGGTCCAGTGGCAACGGCGAATGTGGGTTTGGACAGAGGGAACCGAGAGATCCTTCTCCTGAGAAGGGAACAAGGGAGGTTGGTAGCCGTAAAGGCACTGGAAGGGAGACATCCCAGTGGCAGATGTAGGGAGAGTATTATGGGCATACTCGACCCATGGCAACTGAGAGACCCAAGAGGTGGGGTTGGAGGAGACAAGGCAGCGAAGCGTGGACTCCATCTTCTGGTTGGCTCTCTCAGCCTGACCATTAGATTGGGGGTGAAATCCAGATGTGAGACTGACTGTAGCTCCAATGGCCAAACAGAAGGATTTCCAGACAGCAGAGGTAAACTGAGGACTACAGTCGGAAACTATGTCACTGGGCAGCCCGTGGACCCTGAAAACCTCCCTAACAAGGATCTCGGACGTCTCAGAGGCAGAGGGAAGTTTGGAGATGGGCACAAAGTGGGCAAACTTGCTGAATCTGTCCACAATAGTCAGAATGACAGTGTTCCCATCAGAAGCGGGCAACCCAGTGACAAAGTCCAGGGCCAGATGCGACCATGGTCGCCGGGGAACAGGTAGGGGGTGAAGAAGTCCAGAGCTGGGCCGATTGGTACTTTTATTCTGCGCACAAACTGGACAGGCAGCAACAAAACTCCGGGTATCTTCTCCCATGGCAGGCCATCAAAATCGTCTGCGTAGTAACGCCGTAATCCGAGCCACGCCAGGGTGACAAGCCATCTTGCTGGCGTGGGACCACTGGAGGACAGCAGAACGGACAGACTCTGGCACAAACAACCGACCGGGTGGACCTTTACCGGGACCGGGCGGCGTCCGAAGGGCCGCCATAACCTCCTCCTCAATCTTCCAAGTAACTGCTCCAACGACGAAGTTCTGGGGAAGAATCGTCTCAGTCTTGGCCCCACTCTCCTCCGTTTTGGAGAACATCCGGGACAAGGAGTCCGCCTAGCCGTTCTTAGAACCAGGTCGGAAAGTCAGGGAAAAATTAAAACGTCCAAAAAACAAAGCCCACCTGGCCTGACGGGAGTTGAGACGTCTAGCCGATTGCACGTAAGCAAGATTCTTGTGGTCAGTCCAGACAATAAACGGTTGCTCCGCCCCCTCCAACCAGTTGCGCCACTCCTCCAAGGCGAGTTTAACAGCGAGAAGCTCCCGGTTACCCACATCGTAATTTCTCTCCGCAGGCGAAAGACGACGAGAGTAGAAGGCGCAGGGATGTAGTTTACTGTCAGTGGAGCTTCGCTGGGACAAGATGGCGCCAACCCCCAATTCAGACGCGTCCACTTCCACGACAAACTGACGGGAAGTGTCAGGTTGAGCGAGAATAGGGGTGTTGGTGAATCGGCTCTTCAAGTCCAGGAATGCTCGGTCTGCCTCAGGATTCCAACAGAAGGTTCTGGGGCTAGAAGTCAGGGCAGTTAATGGAGTGGCCACACGGCTGTAATCATGGATAAATCTTCGATAGAAATTCGCAAACCCCAGAAACCTCTGGAGCTGCAATCTCGTACCGGGCTGGGGCCAATCAAGAACCGCCCTAACCTTCTCTTGGTCCATCTTAATCTCTCCCTTGGAGATTATGTATCCGAGGAAGGATGTAGTGTGGGCGTGAAAATCACACTTCTCTGCCTTCACAAACAGACGGTTCTCCAATAATCGCTGCAGGACCTGCTTGACATGCTGGATGTGGCTGGAAAGCTCCTTAGAGAAAATTAGAATATCATCCAGGTAAACGAACACAAAAAGACCGATCATATCTCTCAGAACGTCATTCACCATACTCTGGAACACTGCTGGATCATTGGTCAGTCCAAACGGCATCACTTGATACTCGAAATGTCCCATAGGTGTATTGAACCCAGTCAACCACTCGTCCCCCTCTCTGATCCGGACCACATGATACGCATTGCGTAAATCAAGCTTAGTGAACACAGTAGCACCCTGTAAGGAGTCGAAAGCAGAGTTCATCAAGGGCAGGGGATACTTGTTCTTGACAGTGATATCATTCAAACCCCGATAATCAATACAAGGTCGAAGAGAGCCATCCCTCTTGTTCACGAAAAAGAATCCTGCTCCCAGGGGTGATGACGAGGGACGAATGAGACCGGCAGCTAGAGACTCCTTTATGTAGGTCTCCATGGCTTCACGTTCAGGTCGAGAGATACTGTATAAACGTCCCTTGGGATAGGCAGCTCCAGGGATCAGATTTATAGCACAGTCATATGGTTGGTGGGGAGGAAGTGACAGAGCCTTCTGCTTGCTGAACACTTCACCCAAATCGTGATATGTTTCAGGAACTAGGGACAAATCTGGGAGGGGGGCAGAATCAATGACCTGACTGGGAACAGAATGAGAACAGGCAGTCTTAAGGCAGTTAGCATGACATTCAATACTCCAACTAGTTACCTTGCCAGTCACCCAATCGAACGTGGGATTGTGTTCTCTCAGCCAGGGGTATCCAAGAACCAGGGGGGCACGGGGAGATGGCAGAATGAAGAAGGAGATGAACTCTGAATGATTACCTGACAACAGCATTTTAACAGGTTCAGTTCTCATAGTGATTCGTGCCAGAAGTCTGCCGTTCAGAGTGGTAGCTTCAATGGCTTCCGGTAATTGCTCCTTGGAAAGCCCCAGCTGTTCCACCAAGTCGGCATCCATAAAGCTGCCATCGGCACCTGAATCGATAAAAGCGTTAATCTCCAAAATCTGATTCTTGTTCATGAGGGTTGCAGGAAAACGGGGTCTGACAGGGTTATTGAGAGACTGAAACTGTCTCGCTAAAAGTCCTCCCAAACTTAGTGAGCCGGGCAGTTTAACGGGCGCTGGGGACAAGCGGAGATGTAATACCCAGGGTTACCACAGTAGAGGCAGCTGTTGGTCTCACGTCTACGTTGGCGCTCCTCCTTGGTTAACCCGTGCCGCCCCACTTGCATGGGTTCAGGATCTGGAGGCAGGAACTCTCCTTTAATCTCGTGTGGTGAATAATGATCAGCTCGTTCTGGTCCATTTCCTGACTTGAATGGTAACCGAGTAGATGAGTGTTTGGAAGACCCCCATCGCGTCTCCCTCCTTTTCTCTCGGATTCTGTTATCCACCCGAATAGATAACGCTACCAAACTGTCCAGGTCACTAGGCTCAGGATAAGAGATCAGTTCATCTTTGAGTTGCTCCGACAACCCCTGATAAAAAGCTGCCTGTAGTGACTCCTCATTCCACCCACTCTCCACAGCCAATGTCCTGAATTCAATTACAAAGTCTGCTACACTGCGAGCTCCTTGGCGAAGAGAAAACAGACGATTAGCTGCATCCTTACCTCGGACTGGATGGTCAAAAAGCTTCCTCATCTCTGCCGCGAACTCCTGGTATGATGCCATGCTGGTGTCCTGTCGTTCCCACAAGGCTGAAGCCCACTCCAGAGCTCTTCCACGCAGCAGTTCAATTACAAAGGCTATCCTGGCCTTGTCTGTGGCGTAAGAGTTGGGCTGCAGGTCAAAATCTAATCCACACTGCATGAGAAATGAACGGCATCTTCCCAAATCCCCTTCGTGCTTCTCTGGTGTCGGAACCTTGGGCTCACGGAAGGAAACAGCTCCAGAAGCGGAAGGCGAGGGGGGTGAAACAGGTGGTGGATTCTCCGCCGGCAAACTGAGCTGAGCCTGGATACTCGTCAGACTGGCAGAAAGGTTCCGAACCGAAGACGCTATCTCCTGTAGCGCCGTGCTGTGTTGTCCCAACATCTTCTCTTGATGGGTAATGGCATGGCGACCGGATTCCAGGTCCGCTGGGTTCATCCTTGGCCGGATCGTTCTGTCACGATTCTCTAAAGCGGAACCCAGAAGCAGACCAGGACAAGGTGAGTGGAATGAAGGTGAGTATTAATTTAAAGACTTAAATGTGGAAGCAGGAGAATCCAGGCGACGGAGCTGGCAGTGGAGGTGAGTTGGTGGGAGTGAATGGGCAGATCCAATGATGTTTCTGAAGCCACAGACGACCACAGACGACCAGGCAGAGGTGGAGTGAATATTCCGGGAGAGTAATGTTCAAGGCTAACGATCCGGCAGGGAATGGATGTCATGTCAGAGCTTATGAAGTGGAGAGGTGATGATCAGAACCAGGTGTGCAGATACAGTGGGGAAAAAAGTATTTAGTCAGCCACCAATTGTGCAAGTTCTCCCACTTAGAAAGATGAGAGAGGCCTGTAATTTTCATCATAGGTACACGTCAACTATGACAGACAAATTGAGATTTTTTTCTCCAGAAAATCACATTGTAGGATTTTTTATGAATTTATTTGCAAATTATGGTGGAAAATAAGTATTTGGTCACCTACAAACAAGCAAGATTTCTGGCTCTCACAGACCTGTAACTTCTTCTTTAAGAGGCTCCTCTGTCCTCCACTCGTTACCTGTATTAATGGCACCTGTTTGAACGTGTTATCAGTATAAAAGACACCTGTCCACAACCTCAAACAGTCACACTCCAAACTCCACTATGGCCAAGACCAAAGAGCTGTCAAAGGACACCAGAAACAAAATTGTAGACCTGCACCAGGCTGGGAAGACTGAATCTGCAATAGGTAAGCAGCTTGGATTGAAGAAATCAACTGTGGGAGCAATTATTAGGAAATGGAAGACATACAAGTCCACTGATAATCTCCCTCGATCTGGGGCTCCACGCAAGATCTCACCCCGTGGGGTCAAAATGATCACAAGAACGGTGAGCAAAAATCCCAGAACCACACGGGGGACCTAGTGAATGACCTGCAGAGAGCTGGGACCAAAGTAACAAAGCCTACCATCAGTAACACACTACGCCGCCAGGGACACAAATCCTGCAGTGCCAGACGTGTCCCCCTGCTTAAGCCAGTACATGTCCAGGCCCGTCTGAAGTTTGCTAGAGTGCATTTGCATGATCCAGAAGAGAATTGGAAGAATGTCATATGGTCAGATAAAACCAAAATATAACTTTTTGGTAAAAACTCAACTCGTCGTGTTTGGAGGACAAAGAATGCTGAGTTGCATCCAAAGAACACCATACCTACTGTGAAGCATGGGGGTGGAAACAACATGCTTTGGGGCTGTTTTTCTGCAAAGGGACCAGGACGACTGATCCGTGTGATGGAAAGAATGAATGGGGCCATGTATTGTGAGATTTTGAGTGAAAACCTCCTTCCATCAGCAAGGGCATTGAAGATGAAACGTGGCTGGGTCTTTCAGCATGACAATGATCCCAAACACACCGCCCGGGCAATGAAGGAGTGGCTTCGTAAGAAGCATTTCAAGGTCCTGGAGTGGCCTAGCCAGTCTCCAGATCTCAACCCCATAGAACGTCTTTGGAGGGAGTTGAAAGTCTGTGTTGCCCAGCGACAGCCCCAAAACATCACTGCTCTAGAGGAGACCCCACCTCTTTAAGGAACACCTGGGATAGGATAAAGTAATCCTTCCACCCCCCCAAAAAAAAAAAGTATAATTGTAAAGTGGTTATCCCACTGGCTATAGGGTGAATGCACCAATTTGTAGTCGCTCTGGATAAGAGCGTCTGCTAAATGACGTAAATGTGCCCTTGAGCAAGGCACTTAACCCTAATTGCTCCTGTAAGTCACTCTGGATAAGAGCGTCTGCTAAATGACTAAAATGTAAATGTAATAGGCATGGAGGAATGGGCCAAAATACCAGCAACAGTGTGTGAAAACCTTGTGAAGACTTACAGAAAACGTTTGACCTGTGTCATTGCCAACAAAGGGTATATAACAAAGTATTGAGAAACTTTTGTTATTGACCAAATACTTATTTTCCACCATAATTTGCTAATAAATTCATAAAAAATCCTACAATGTGATTTTCTGGATTATTTTTCCTCATTTTGTCTGTCATAGTTGACGTGTACCTTTGATGAAAATTACAGGCCTCTCTCATCTTTTTAAGTGGGAGAACTTTCACAATTGGTGGCTGACTAAATACGTTTTTCCCCCACTGTAGCTGATGAGATGCAGGTGCAGGTAATGGAGAGATCTCCCACCTTGCTTCGTCGCCCGGCAACCAGACAGGGTGCGTTCAGGAAACTCAGGAAAAAAGACTCCAGGACAGAAAACAGGCAACTCAGGCAGAAACCGACTCAGGAAGCGGGATTCATGACACAATATGTATAAGCTGCCATATTCGCCTACGTATAAACGTATTCTATTTTTAGGCATCACTCTGATCACCTTGGTTGTCCCTGTGGCGTTGGGTGTTTTTGTAAACTACAAGTGGCCCAAAGCAGCAAGGAAGATCTTGAGGGTATGTCTAATCTGTCTACTTTTTAGTATCTTGTTATTGTCATGCTACAAATCCTCAGACACTGGCCCTTTACTGGCATCCCTTTCTGTCTGTGTGTCTGTCTGTCTGTCTGTCTGTCTGTCTCGCTCTCTGTAGGTGGGTACTGTGGTGGGAGGTCTTCTCCTGATGGTAGTAGGAATTGCAGGTGCTGTTCTCTACCGAGGCTCGTGGCATACAGACACCTCCATCATCATTATAGGAGCCATCTTCCCCCTGATAGAATACAGTGCCTGGTTCATCATTGCTGTCATCGTCAGGGAGCCATGGCAGAGGTGAGAGGTCAGAAAAGATCAGGGCCCATATTCACAAAGTGTCGTAGTGTATGAGTGCTGATCTAGGACAGGGGTCATCAACGTTTTCTGAGTCAAGATCACTTTCTGAGTCAAAATGCAAGCCGACATCTACCGCTCAGATTTTCTTTTTACATTACTTAAAAAACGGAAGCCTATGCATTAACCTATTTGTATTTGTATGTATTATGGATCCCCATTAGGCAGCAGCTACTCTTCCTGGGGTACAGCAGAATTAAGGCAGTTCATACAATTTTAAAAACATTACAATACATTCACAGATTTCACAACACACTGTGTGCCCTCAGGCCCCTACACCACCACTACCACATATCTACAGTACAAAAATCCATGTGTACGTGTGTGTATGCATGTGTCTGTGCCTATGTTTGTGTTGCTTCACAATCCCAACTGTTCCATAAGGTGTTTTTTATCTGTTTTTTAAATCTAATTTTACTACTTGCATCAGTTACTTGATGTGGAATAGAGTTCCATGTAGTCATGGCTCTATGTAGTACTGTGCGCCTCCCGTAGTCTGTTCTGGACTTGGGGACTGTGAAGAGACCTCTGGTGGCATGTCTTGTGGGGTATGCATGGGTGACCAAGCTGTGCGCCAGTAGCTCAAACAGACAGCTTGGTGCACCCATCATGTCAACACCTCTCATAAACACAAGTAGTGATGAAGTCAATCTCTCCTCCACTTTGCGCCAGGAGAGGTCGACATGCATGTTATTAATATTAGCTCTATATGTACATCCAAGGGCCAGCCATGCTGCCCTGTTCTTAGCCAATTGCAATTTTCCTAAGTCCTTTTTTGTGGCACCTGACCACACGACTGAACAGTAGTCCAGGTGTGACAAAACTAGGGCCTGTAGGACCTGCCTTGTTGATAGTAATGTTAAGAAGGTAGAGCAGCGCTTTATTATGGACAGACTTCTCCCCATTTTAGCTACTGTTGTATCAATATGTTTTGACCATGACAGTTTACAATCCAGGGTTACTCCAAGCAGTTTAGTCACCTCAAGTTGCTCAATTTCCACATTATGTATTACAAAATGTAGTTGAGGTTTAGGGTTTAGTGAATGATTTGTCCCAAATACAATGTTTTTAGTTTTAGAAATATTTAGGACTAACTTATTTCTTGCTACCCACTCTAAAACTAACTGCAACTCTTTGTTAAGTGTTGCAGTCATTTCAGTCGCTGTGGTAGCTGACATGTATAGTGAAGAGTCATCCGCATACATAGACACTCTGGCTTTACTCAAAGCCAGTGGCATGTCATTTTTTATATTTTATTTTATTTTTTTCACCTTTATTTAACAAGGTAAGAACAAGTTCTCATTTACAACTGCGACCTGGCCAAGATAAAGCAAAGCAGTGCGATAAAAACAACAACACAGAGTTACATATGGGGTAAAAAAACATAAAGTCAAAAAATACAACAGAAAATATATATACAGTGTGTGCAAATGTAGCAAGTTATGGAGGTAAGGGAATAAATAGGCTATAGTGCAAAATAATTACAATTAGTATTAACACTGGAATGCTAGATGTGCAAGAGATTATGTGCAAATAGAGATACTGGGGTGCAAAAGAGCAAAAATAAATAACAATATAGGAATGAGGTAGTTGGGTGGGCTAATTTCAGATGGGCTGTGTACAGGTGCAGTGATCGGTAAGGTGCTCTGACAACTGAGTCTCCAGCTTCAGAGATTTTTGCAATTTGTTCCAGTCATTGGCAGCAGAGAACTGGAAGGAATGGCGGCCAAAGGAGGTGTTGGCTTTGGGGATGTCCAGTGAGATATACCTGCTGGAACGCAGACTACGGGTGGGTGCTGCTATGGTGACCAATGAGCTAAGATAAGGCGGGGATTTGCCTAGCAGTGATTTATAGATGGCCTGGAGCCAGTGGGTTTGACGACGAACATGTAGTGAGGACCAGCCAACAAGAGCGTACAGGTCACAGTGGTGGGTAGTGTATGGGGCTTTGGAGACAAAATGGATGGCACTGTGATAGACTACATCCAATTTGCTGAGTAGAGTGTTGGAGGCTATTTTGTAAATGACATCGCCGAAGTCAAGGATCGGTAGGATAGTCAGTTTTACGAGGGCATGTTTGGCAGCATGAGTGAAGGAGGCTTTGTTGCGAAATAGGAAGCCGATTCTAGATTTAACTTTGGATGGGAGATTCTTAATGTGAGTCTGGAAGTAGAGTTTACAGTCTAACCAGACACCTAGGTATTTGTAGTTGTCCACATACTCTAGGTCAGACCCGTCGAGAGTAGTGATTCTAGTCGGGTGGGCGGGTGCCAGCAGCGTTCGATTGAAGAGCATGCATTTAGTTTTACTAGTGTTTAAGAGCAGTTGGAGGCTACTGAAGGAGTGTTGTATGGCATTGAAGCTCGTTTGGAGGTTTGTTAACACAGTGTCCAATGAAGGGCCAGATGTATACAAAATGGTGTCGTCTGCGTAGAGGTGGATCTGAGAGTCACCAGCAGCAAGAGCGACATCATTGATATACACGGAGAAAAGAGTCGGCCCAAGAATTGAACTCTGAGGCACCCCCATAGATACTGCCAGAGGTCCAGACAACAGGCCCTCCGATTTGACACATTGAACTCTATCTGAGAAGTAGTTGGTGAACCAGGCGAGGCAGTCATTTGAGAAACCAAGGCTATTTAGTCTGCCAATAAGAATGCGGTGGTTGACAGAGTCGAAAGCCTTGGCCAGGTCGATGAAGACGGCTGCACAGTACTGTCTATTATCGATCGCGGTTATAATATCGTTTAGGACCTTGAGCGTGGCTGAAGTGCACCCATGACCAGCTCGGAAACCGGATTGCATAGCGGAGAAGGTACGGTGGGATTCGAAATGGTCGGTGATCTGTTTGTTAACTTGGCTTTCAAATACTTTCGAAAGGCAGGGCAGGATGGATATAGGTCTGTAACAGAGTGTCACCCCCTTTGAAGAGGGGGATGACCGCGGCAGCTTTCCAATCTCTGGGGATCTCAGACGTTACGAAAGAGAGGTTGAACAGGCTAGTAATAGGGGTTGCGACTTTTTCGGCGGCTAGTTTTAGAAAGAAAGTGTCCAGATTGTCTAGCCCAGCTGATTTGTAGGGGTCCAGATTTTGCAGCTCTTTCAGAACATCAGCAGTCTGAATTTGTGTGAAGGAGAAGCGGGGGGGGGGGGGGGGGGGGGGGGGGGGGGTGCAGAGTTGGTGGCCGGGATAGTGGTAGCCAGGTGGAAAGCATGGCCAGCCGTAGCATAATGCTTGTTGAAATTCTCGATTATCGTAGATTTATCGGTGGTGATAGTATTTCCTAGCCTCAGTGCAGTGGGCAGCTGGGAGGAAGTGCTCTTATTCTCCATGGACTTTACAGTGTCCCAAAATAAGGCGGGGAGTTAGTGCTACAGGATGCACATTTCTGTTTGAAAAAGTTAGCCTTTGCTTTCCTGACTGCTTGTGTATATTGGTTCCTAACTTCCCTGAAAAGTTGCATATCGCGGGGGCTATTTGATGCTAATGCAGTACGCCACAGGATGTTTTTGTGCTGGTCAAGGGCAGTCAAGTCTGAGGAGAACCAGGGGCTATATCTGTTCTTAGTTCTGTCTTTTTTGAATGGGGCATGTTTATTTAAGATTGAGAGGAAATTACTTTTAAAGAACAACCAGGCATCCTCTACTGACGGAATGAGATCTATATCCATCCAGGATACCTGGGCCAGGTCAATTAGGAAGGCCTGCTCGCTAAAGTGTTTTAGGGAGCGTTTGACAGTGATGAGGGGTGGTCGTTTGACCGCGGACCCATTACGGATGCAGGCAATAAGGCAGTGATCGCTGAGATCCTGGTTGAAGACAGCGGAGGTGTATTTAGAGGGTAAGTTAGTCAGGATGATATCTATGAGGGTACCCATGTTTACGGATTTAGGGTTGTACCTGGTAGGTTCGTTGATAATTTGTGTGAGATTGAGGGCATCTAGTTTGGATTGTAGGATGGCCGGGGTGTTAAGCATATCCCAATTTAGGTCACCAAGCAGTACGAACTCTGAGGATAAATGGGGGGCAATCAATTCACATATGGTGTCCAGGGCACAGCTGGGGGCTGAGGGGGGTCTGTAGCAAGCGGCAACAGTGAGAGACTTATTTCTGGAAAGGTAGAAGCTCAAACTGTTTGGGCACAGACCTGGATAGTATGATAGAGCTCTGCAGGCTATCTCTACAGTAGATTGCAACTCCACCCCCTTTGGCAGTTCTATCTAGACAGAAAATGTTATAGTTGGGGATGGAAATTTCAGAATTTTTGGTGGCCTTCCTAAGCCAGGATTCAGACACTGCTAGAACATCAGGGTTGGCGGAGTGTGCTAACGCAGTGAATAACTCAAACTTAGGAAGTAGACTTCTGATATTTACATGCAAGAAACCAAGGCTTTTGCGATTACAGAAGTCAACAAATGATAGTGCCTGGGGAGTAGGAGTGATACTGAGGGCTGCAGGGCCTGGGTTAGCTTCTACATCACCAGAGGAACAGAGGAGGACTAGAATAAGGATACGGCTAAAGGCTTTAAGAACTGGTCTTCTAGTGCGTTGGGTACATAGAATAAAGGGGGCAGATTTCTGGGTGTTGTAGAAAAGATTCAGGCCATTATGTACAGACAAGGATATGGAAGGATATGAGTAAAGTGGAGGTAAACCTAAGCGTTGGGTAACAATGAAAGAGATAGCATCACTGGAGGCACCAATTGAGTCGGTCTCCGCGTGTATGGGGGGTGGGACAAAGGAGCTATCTAAGGCAGGTTTAGCTGGGCTGGGGGATCTACAGTGAAATAGTACAATTAGAAATAACAGAAACAACAATAAGCTAACCATGTTGACATGGGAGAGAGGCATAAAGCAATCACAGGTGTAATTTGAGAGAGCTAAGACAACAGCTGGTAATGACGACACAGTTTGGGCTGAGGCTAAACATAAACAGGATGC